GAGCCTCATCAGCCTCATCCTCGCTCCCTTGTAAAGCAGGGAAGCTCGGAGAGCTTGAAACAGCAAGGCCTTGAGCGGCTGCTTCCTTCAAAGACTCGTCTTGATCGGCTGGAGCAGAAGTGCTGTAGAGGACGGGAGCAGCGCCAAAAAGAGCTCACGTTGCCTGCGACGCGCTTAAGGGGCTAGTTGAGCCGGTGGTGGATGGTCAGGAGGCCGGTGTCAGTTGCTTGGAGCCTCTTGGGCCCGGAGCTCAGTCGGAAAAGACTTTGAAAGAGCTCTGGATAGGGACCTTTTTGTTGCTAGACTCTTGACTGACGGGTGCTTGTCTCCAGATACCTGCTGCATCGACATCCTCCTTCGATCTGGACGTGCAGATGGATCGGCGTGAATTGGCTCAGCTTCACAGCAGGGATGTGGGTCCTGGTTCAGTGCATGTAACGTTGTCGGGCCCTGGCGAAATGATGTGCAGCGCTTTTTTCCGAGCCCATGCATCTCTTACCAACACTACTCTTGATGCTGTGCAAGGCTACAGAAACTTCACTGACTTCGGCAACAACAACGAGTCCACGTGCTGCTGGCCAGGTTAGACTCTTCGACTGGTCGACTTAGCACAGCCGCATCCACCCACTTTTCGTAGGAGGCCCCTCAGACTGCAAGCGCCAGGACAGCACCAAGCAATGCCACTGGAGGCAAAGGGCAGGGCAGTGTAAAGTGCACGCGCAGATTCTGCTAGATGTGAGGGGCTAAGGGTCGAGGCGATGTTTCGCTGATGAGTGAATAGCGGCTAGGATGAGGTGAGTTCTGAGGCCTTCTGCGGATTTGCAGAGAGAAGTAGCGTGTCGATGATCATTGTCGTGATGCATGATGACAGGACTCCAGGCCCACAAAGCCACAAACAAACCACGACTCTTCCACTCCCTATCCCCCCATCTCTCGACCAAGTGATAACCCACTTATAGCATTGTGGGTCTTGCTGCGCCCTTCTTCGGGCTTGAACCACGGTCTCGCGGCATCCGGTGACCCTGTGCGGGGGCCATGCTTGGATAGCCTTCTCAGGCTTTCTACGACAAGTTTGAACACGATTCAGAAACAGGACGAGATTGAGGAAGCCAGGATTCAGGAAAGCTCCGAAGAATTTAGGAAACTGCGGTTCTAGAAGCTGGGCCAGCAGGAGACTGGCGTACGCACTCCAGAAAAACCCGCGATTCATGAAACCACGCAATTCAGGAAACTGGTGCTATTCGATTTAGAAAACTTACTTTCGGTTCCCTGTAGAATCCCTTAAAGGGCATATTTCGGGCCCGAATTCCCTCATTCCCTGCTGACCAACAGTAAGAAAATTGCCCGATTCAGAGAACCATGCGGGTTCCGGAAGCTGCCCAATTCAAGAAATGGGGTTGGGGGGTTTAGGGTTTAGGGTTTAGGGTTTAGGGTTTAGGGTTTAGGGTTTAGGGTTTAGGGGGGGGCGGAGGGCGTTCACCAGTTCATGCTCCAATCAAGTAGCTGGCCCGAATCCGCGGTTTCCAGCTTCCCGAATGCGCGGTGTGCCCAATCCACTTTCCTCCAGCTTCCCGAATCCGTAACCTTAGTTTCCCGAATACGCCCTTTTGGTTTCCCGAATCCGCGGCTTCCAGTTTCCCGAATGACGTTTTTCTGTTTCCGAATTTGCACGTTTTCAGTGTCCGGATCCACAGTCGACGTGGGCCGTCCGATACCTGGGCCGTTGCACTTTGCAACGCTTGGTAGATTTTTCCATTGCGGCCGCGTTCCGCGACTGCAGGCCGAGTACGCCCGAGTACGCCCGAGTACGCCCGAGTACGCCCGAGTGCGCCCGAGTACGTCCGAGTACGTCCGAGTACGCCCGAGTACGCCCGAGTACGCCCGAGTGCGCCCGAGTACGCCCGAGTACGCCCGAGTACGCCCGAGTACGCCCGAGTCATGCCCGAGTCATACCCGGTCATACCCGGTCATACCCGGCATACCCGGTCATACCCGGTCATACCCCGTCATACCCAGTCATACCCGGTCATACCCGGTCATACCCGGTCATACCCGGGCATACCCGGGCATACCCGGTCATACCCGGTCATACCCGGGCATACCCGGTCATACCCGGTCATGCCCGAGTCATACCCGGGCAAACCCGGGCATACCCGGGCATACCCGGGCATACCCGGGCATACCCGGTCATACCCGGTCATACCCGGTCATACCCGGTCATACCCGGTCATACCCGGTCATACCCAGTCATACCCTGTCATACCGTCCCGTGGTTTTCCGCAGTCGCGGTTTCCCGTTACAGTGGATTTTTCGGTAGTATGCAGAACCTATACCTATACTTAGGGCTATACCTCAGCTCTGTGTTCTGTGGGGCCGTTTCAAAGACTCAGCTGAGCGCCGGGTCAGCTCGTTTGCCGTTTGTTCTCTATATTTTTTTTTCGCATTTTCGAAGCTTACACTGTGGGGCACACCGGGGAGCCCCTTCTCGAAGTTTGAAGCTTTGTAAACTTGCCCTGGGCGGTGGTGCGAAATATGTGGACCTTGAGTAGCGCTGCCAGTTTGCAACCTTTTCGCTCGTCCCTCATCCATCTGTTGCCCACACTGAAAGTCTGAAACTTCCAAGCCTATCCGAGCGCGCGCCCGACTGTGATCTTGTCAGCAGGAAGCCAGTTTGTTGCGCGGCTCTCAGATGCATTGTCCCTCCCAAGGCACCTCGGGCGCTGAGTGTTTCACTGGTTGCAGAGCTTTCTTGGCTGCCCAAGGCATTTGGAGGCAGTGGCAACCGTCTTGGAGAGGCTTCCACAGAGATGGAGGTACATTCCGGTAAAACATCTCTTTGGTGCAGCCGATCCCACCTTGCTGCAAGCCTTGCGGTGCCTGCATGGTTGTAAAGAAGCTCTGATAGAATACTGTGTGGGTACTGTATTTCGGCACAGGAGTCACATGAGTGGAGGAGTTGCATGCGGTGTCAGCAATCGGCACTGCCGCACCTGTGCGGGCAGGTGCGTCCAACTGAGCCTCCGAGCCAGCCGTGACATGCCGCGACATCAAGCACACCTTGAACCCAAAACCCTGAACCCTAAACCCTAAACCCTAAACCCCAAACCCTAAACCCTCGTGTGGCTCAGCGAGTGGCTCCCAGTGATCTCAGCATGGGGACGAAGTCCCAAGAAGTGTTTGGCGCACAGAAGTTCTCCAAGCCGTGGAATCTCCACAAGGTTGTACAAGGCTGGGGGGTTCCTGCAGTCAGGATTTCGGGTTTAGGGTTTAGGGTTTACGGTTCAGGGTTAGGGCGTTATGGTGTGTGGGGGACCCCTCTTTTGTCAAATCCCCAGTTCGAGCGACCGAGTCAAATTGGCTTGCGAAGCCCTTTCTGGATCGAAGCAGTAGAGCGGGCTTCTGATGCGACCCCTGATGTGCACCTTGGTATGGCAAGCAGTAGATTTTGATGAACATGGCCAATAGAGAGAGGACACCTTAGACTATTTCTGCGAGTTGGGTTCAAGATGGTTCCAGGCACGTTCAGCCACTGTGCATCCGCTGAGGTGACAGATACCGCTGAGCTGCAGGTCAGGCGGAGCACTTGCTGCACTTACCTGACTTGGCCAGTAGAGCGGAGGTATCGGTGTGAGGGGTCTTGGAGACCATGGCAGAGGACCCAGCAACTTCTTCGCGCAACGCAGCTGGGGGCTTCCCGCCATCAGTTGCAATCCTTGCAGGATCGCTCCACGCAGCAGATGCAGTCGACAGCCACCAAGCCGGGTTGCCTAGCGAAGCTTCTTGCGCCGGGACTTGACAGTTGAGACTGTCGATTCAGCAGGTTCATGCAAAGTTCACCTGGCTTTGCAGAGAAGCTGGCCAGCTCTGCAATGAGTGTGGGCCTGCCCAGGCCAGCGAAAAAGGATGTTGGGACATGTCAGGACAATCAGCACATTTCACAAGCACATTTACATCTCAACACGTACAAGAGACCCCACGGCCGACGTGCAGGGTGGGCTCAGGGAAGGGCGACGATCGCGATTCAATGATTGCCGCGCTGCTGCCACGTTGCTATAATATAGCTGCCTGTGTGAGCAATCCTCCGGTCATTGTGTGAGCCACGACGATTTCGAATCCCAGGCAATTGCGAGACACGTATCGCCCACCCTTAAGCATGCTGAATGTTGCCAGAGCTTGTCGGCTCAAGATGGGCTAACTTTCCGTTGAGCCAACGAAGGCATTGAAGCGCCTGCTTGTCCATGGGGGCAGATGTCAGTGCAATCAGGAACCAGTTGGAGGCAGAGCGTGAACAAGAAAGTGCCTGTCCTCAGTTGCTGGTAGATGCACTTCTTGAGATCTCACAGGAGGGTCAGAAAAAGGGTGCCTAGCATCTCACTTTTTCAGAAACAAATGAAGACCGAGTGCCTTCTTCCAGTGTTGCACGTGCAGACGGCAACCCCGGGCCTTAGTTCAACATAAAAAAAGCTACATACACGGGTCGGGATCTCCTCTTGGAGAAGCATGCAAATGCGGCTTCAAACGGGATGATGGGCCTGGTTTTGGAGGTGCTGGAGAGTGTCCCAGATCGCATGAAGTAGTAAGCACCGGGAGCAGAAGATCATGTGTCAGCTTGGGAACATGAAGTGCGGGACACGTGCTGTAGTCGGGTGGACGTTGCGGCTCTCCAAGTTCGAAGTGCTTGGTATATATGGGGTTTTCCGATATTCGGGGTACCTTATTGGGGTCCTTACTATAGGGGGAACCTGCTATTTACCAGGGGTCCCTAGGGGTCCCTTATTATCGTAAGCCCCACAGGGGAGTGCCTTTGTAAGTGCCTGCCCGCCTGGAAGGCGTGCGGAAGGGCACGTTGACAGTGCGGGTTGGATGATCATGGACGAAGATGCAACAGCTAGGACGTAGCACGAAATCAAGAGCTCGCATTTTAAGGCTAGTGAGCAGCATCTGACTACGCAGAGAATACGGCGGTCTCCTTGATGTAAGGAGCGCAGCATGCGAGCCAAATGGAGATCCTGAAGCAGTTTGATCAAAGGACAGCGATGCCACGACTGCTTAATACTAGTAGCTCAACGGCCATTAAATCAGTGTGCAGGGGGCCTCCTAAACCCTAAACCCTAAACCCTAAATCCTAAACCCTAAACCCTCTAGAGCAATCGCACTCTAGAGTTGGCCTGGCTGGCAGGACAAAGGTTCCTCACTTGCTGATCGAGCTGCGGAACGCGGGCTACATTGAGATCTTGGGCTGAGGGTTTAGGGTTTAGGGTTTAGGGTGGTTTATGTAGACACATGAGAGCTCACAGAGAAAGGCGGCATGGTACGCCCAGCATGGTTGGCTTAGCAGCATGTAAGGATATGTGGCAAGAACATCGGTGGCATTTATGCGGGACCCCTAGCACTTCCGCTCCATCTGCTTGCAGATTCATGCTTATCCGATGACTCAAATCTGAGGATAAATTGGACGGTTTCTTCAAGACATACTTTGGTGCTTCGGAGACCACATTGGTTATGCGCAGAGCTCCACCGAATGCTGCTTGCCGGCAACCGAAAACGAAAATGCACCTTGTGTTCATTTTGGTTCGAACTTGCCCGAAGCTTGAATCTTTGCTCAGCTCAGCTTTCTCATTCTGCATCTTTAAACCCTAAACTAAGCCCTAAACCCTAAGCAACGCCAACACCGCAACCCTAAACCCTAATATTCCGGCTTGCTTTTGGTCGCAGAGTGCATGCCCGCGTTATGCACAAAAGCTCAAGAGCACCGAAAGAATTTGCGCTTCGGAGCATCTTGTCGCAAGGATGGCGATTGTTGTGTCCAGGGAGGTAAACTCGCAATGCTTCCCAAAGAGCCGTGCGACGATGTTTGCGACAGGAGCCTGGGCTATCATACGGGATTGACTGGAACAAGCATGTTTTGGACATGGACTCATGCATGAGAAAGCTCCTGGTGCCATGTTGGCTTTCTGTGTACAAGTTCTGCCAAGGAATTATGTGTGTGGTGTTCAGCAGGGAGATGGAAGTGTAGCCGGCAACGGCAAATTCAAAATGCGTGGAAATGAGGGTGAGAACAACATGGGCATCTTGTCCTAGATGAGATGATGCCTTTGCTCGTTTGCGGCCGGAAAGAGTGAAGCCACCCCAACGTGGTGCTTTCGCAACGGAGTGTTAGAGATGCTGAGCCTCTGACACAGAGAGGGGTATGCATTTATTTCTCTTAAATAAAAGCGATGTGTATGTATGTTTTTTCTGTCTACTAGTATCAGGCTTGTTGAGCGCGGAGGCGATGGGCTTACTTACAACCCTTAACCCTTTGTGATCTTCGTGCTCACAGCAATCGCTCCGCTTTGCTTTCCTCAGCCAAGGCAAGCTGGCCATGGAGGCAAGGCGCCCCAGTTGTTTTTGACCCATTCTGAGAGGAACACCCGCAATAGCGTTTAGGGTTTAGGGTTTAGGATTTAGGGTTATATAGAACTCTTCAGGTCATCAACTTCATGACCAACGAGTGTGGATGGGGCTTGCACCTCACAGATGGCGGGAACCTTGGGCGGTTCGGTCAGACGCGCGAGACGCAAATCAAGTTTAAGGCACCCCATCCACTGCCACTTGGCTCAGGGAGAAGGGTTTAGGGTTTAGGGTTTAGAGAATCGGGTCTTGATTGTTTTTTGTTTGGGCGCAGCTGCCCTGGCGCTTGTGTAACCTGCACAGCTTCAGCTCTAAGGAACCTCATGGCACCCCACGTCATGATCGAGTTGAGGCTAGTACTGCAGCAATGATCTTGCAATGATCTTGCAAACAGTGGAGTCGTTGTTCTCCAACAAGTGGTTTCGAAGGTGTGATGTTGGAGTGTAACTTCGTCAACCTATTGCCTTAAGTTACTATAACCTATTGCCTTAAGTTACTATCACGAGCTCACAAGCAGCGAGCAGGAGCGATGCTCCGGCGAAGCTTGCTGATGACACGACAAGAGCCGCGAAGCGTCTAGAGCCTTGAGCTGCTCTGACACGAGGTCAAGTAGAACATCCAAACAGAGACGAGTTGCAATGCCCAGTCTCCTTCGCGGAACAAACGCCGAAGCGAACGAGCCGAACTTGAAAGGCGAAGTTCGCGCATGATCCGTGCTGTGCCGCAGGACGTACGACTCAACTGTGCCGGAAAACTCCAGCGGACTCCCTTTCAAAAGTTAGATGCTTCGGATAAGACTGTTCCCGAGTGCCTCGGTCCAACGAACGGTATTTACGATTTTCTGTCCACCCCCCTCTTGACTCGCCTCTCAGGCTGGGACGGGTGGGAGAACACCGAACGTGATCTGTAGCCAACATTACCACAGCGAATAAACGCAACAACATCAATGAATGTGTGATTTTACTGCATAGAGGCGTATTTGCCTGCTTCTGTGCGCTTGTGCAGGTCTGCGGGATACATTGAGGTGAATGGCCACGATACAAACGGAATCTACAAGAAGATTTCGGACTGCAATGTACTGCGCCTGTGATACAGATAGTCATGACCTGAAGAAGGAAATGTCAACTTTGAGACATGTGCTGTCTCAGAAGCGGAGATCGTAACTGGAGCTCTGAAAGTATCGGTTTCTCATATACGATTATATAGTAGAAGCAGTAATCGTAGTAACGAAGCCGACGATGGCAACGCTGCGCAGGACTTTGTGAGACACAGATGGGGTGGCTCTGTCGTGGGCGGAGACTACAAAGACTACTGTGCTCTGAAGTTTACCACTCCGGCCTTCAAAAAGAGAGGGATGCAGGGCGAGAATAACATGGGCATGAAAACAATGGAGATCGTAGATTATATGACCAAAGAGTGTGCTTGGACACTGCTGACTTGCACCGGGGGGAACTATGGTCTCACTGGAACGATGCGGGAGCAGCAGATGGTTTTCAGAAATGTTCCCTGGCTGATTGCCCGATGTCCTTTCCCAGCTTTCCTCTAAAGCAAAGCCTTGAGTCGTTTTCTTCCAATGTCCCGCCTACCCCGCCCTCAGCTTCGAGTAAGGATGCTCACATCCAGCACGGCGAGCAGCATCTCATGATCGAGTTCCGCGATCAGGGCTACGTGGAAATCAACGGCCTCCACGATGCACCCGATGCGGCTCAACAGCTGGAGCAGTACTTCTCTACCCAAGGCTGCAAGGCTTGCTTGGGGCTTAGGGTTGCGATCCGAGAGAGTGCCACCCAAGCGCACCGAAACTGGGCTGCGCCGATCGGGTGAAGCATCCTTCTGTTCTGTTTTTGCAGGTATATCAGCCCGGATTCTGGGAATCCTCTGAAAAGCCACTTGCCTGCAGACCCCCGTGGTCTTGCTCTTCGTGAGATGGCTCTGCCAAGGTATTGCGACGTGAAGTATCAAACTCCTCCGGGCTGGTATTACCGTGCAGGAACCACAAACAATCTGGGCCCCTTAGCTCTGAAGCTCTTGGTGTTAGGGTTTAGTAGGGTTTAGGGTTTAGGGTCTCTCTCTCCCGGTGCCTCACAAGATCAGGCAAACGCACCGTCGAAGTTGCAAGCTATCTTGGGCAGCACGGATGGATGCTGCTGCTCTGCAACGGTGGCAACATCCAAACAGGCTGGACCAGATAGGTTTGGGCAAGACCCGCAGGAGAAAAAAGAGAAGCGGATGTGCGTTGACTTGTGACTGCAATATTGCACATGTACCCAGTTTCTTACCACACATCCTGGGAAGGCCAGAATCAGAGGAACATCATGCGTGAGCAGCAGGTGAAGTTTACGAAGGCCCGGCCAACTGACAACCCGGCAGCTCCCCTGCTGATGATCGAGATGAGAACCTTCGTAGCCCAGTAGTGGTGCCCTTTTCCCTTTTTTTTTGGGTTCAAGCTTCCCTTCTAAAGCAACCAACCCAAAAAAGAGGGTGCTTTTAAATATAGCAAGGTTACTGGGCTACCAAGGAACGATACCGACCAGCATGCACGGCCACTACCAGGGCTTTATCGAAATCAACGGTCAGAACACGAATGGAGTGTACCAGCAGGCCTGGGTTCGAGTGAGATGGGATCTTTGAGGTAAGTTGAAGCTTCCACTCATGGGTGTAGGTTTTGGGGATTTTTTAGGGTTTAGGGGTTTTGGGGTTTAGGGTTTAGGGGCCGAGGATCTAGACTTGGAAGGCAGCGATCATTCATGCAGTCCTCCTTCGCCTCCCTCTTCAAACCCTTGAACCCCTCAACAACTCCCATCCCGAACAAGCTCGTTTCGGCAAAACACGAAGCCATGCAAAGTTGAACTACCTTTAGGGTTTAGGGTTTAGGGTTTGGGTCTGCAACGTTTGCATGAGGTCATCCAGTACATGCAGCAGACAATGCTTTGCACACCTCTGGGTCCGCAGCCGTACTGCCGCTGGCCAACAACAGCCGGTTGTGTTAGTGTTTAGTGTTTAGTGTTTAGGGTTTAGGGTTTAGGGTTTAGGGTTTAGGGTTTAGGGTTTAGGGTTTAGGGTTTAGGGCTCAGACAAGATTTGCTTTGCTGCAGTGATTGCGCCGCTTGGTCGAGGCGATCTCCTGCTTCAGTGCCACTGCTTCCGCCTCCGCCCCTCGGACCCCGTCAACTTCGTTAAATGAAACCTCGCAACTGGATACCATTTTTTTAGACGTGTCGAAAAAAGTAGTATCCACTTGAAACAGTCAGATGGTGTTGTGGGTGGTCAGTCTCTCTTTTCACCCTTGCGCAGTGGAAGCTCTGCTTTTGCGGCCGAGCTGGCCACTCTGAGGAGAGGCAATAACATGGAATCATGGTTATCATGGCCGGCTGAATGGTGAGAGCAACTTTGGCAGGCCCGCCCTAGCTTATCCTGCCCTCATCTTCACAGTTAAGGTTTGGGGCTAGGGTTTAGGGCTAGTAGTCTCAAAGGTCATGGTTGAGAAAGGTACACGATGCGGCTGTGTGACTTCATGGTCGATCACCTTGGTGAGTGGGACCTGATCGTTTGCAATGGCAACAGTGTGGATTCCGTTTTCCGATACGGGAAGGACTGCTCTCTTGTATAGACTACTCTTTCTTTCCTTTCTTTGTCTTCCTTCTCTCCCTCTCTCTTTCTCTCGGTCGCTCGCTGGCTCGCTCTGTCTCTCTCTCTCTTTTTTCTCTCTCCGTCTCTCTCTCTCTCTGACTCTCTATCTTTCTCGATCTCTCTGCAGGACAGCACGATGAATGTCACTGGCCGCGAGCAACAGCTCATCTTCAGGCATCGGCCAGGCAGCTTGCGAAGTGTGACGATCATTGCTAGGAAGCTCTATTTTTCAGGCATCCGGCCAGAAAGCCAGAAGCCACTTAGCAAGTGATTTCGGGCTGCGAGGTGGGCGCAATGTGTTCATGGCTGCGGATGTGAATGTGGCGAAGCTGGGTCGGGCCCCGCTCTTGCCGCCAAACTACTGGAAGGAAACCGCGAGGCCAGGAAATCGGAGCGGCTTGCACTAGAAAGGTGCATAGGCTTGTTTAGAACAAAATCCTAAAACCCCCCCCCCCCCCAAAAAAAAAAAAAAAAAAAACCAGGACAGGATCGGTCGGCCAGGAGATCGTTCCTGCGACGGCCGAAGAGATCTCGTGGATCCAGGAGGTCCTGGATGGCACCTACAAGAAGAAGTCCACCCGCGATCGCGCCGGCGGTCCCTTGGCCGATCGCTTCGTGGTGGTCTCCGCCTTGCGATCGGAACACCCAGGCCACTTGAAAGACCTTGGGCCACCTTGGGCCACCTTGGGGCACCTTGGGGCACCTTGGGCCACCTTGGGCCACTTGAAACATGTGAGAGATGATTGCTTCTAATGTCTCAGCTGGCGCTCTGCGTGCCGTGCAACAGGCTTGTGGGACAAGTTTGCAGAGAAGAGGAACCAAGCAGCTTGTGCTGAATGCTGGAAGGGCCCCATGCCTTGCCTTTGCTTCGTCTCGTAGAGTCGTAGAGTTGTCGTAGGACCGACCAAGGTGGCGCGTGACATCAAGGGCAGAAGCACCGTGGAAATTGTGGAGCCGAAGACCATGAAAGCTTGCAGCGCCTTTCAAGAAAGGCCTCCTGGTTTTCTGACATTGACGCTCTTCTCTCTTTTTTTGGGGGCTTTTGGGAATCAGGGTTGCAGACTAGCTGCAGATTCCAGGTGTACACATCCACGCCTCGGCAATCCGACCAATGAGGCTCCACGGTTCATGGGCTGTCAAGTGTTTTTTTCTTGGTGCTTTCCAGTTGCTTCCACCTGAGGCTTATCTCTTCCATGGCTCCAACCCTACTTCTGCCATCTCGATCCTGAGCACTTCTTTCAAAGTGGACTTTGCTGGTGCAGCTGTTGGCACAATGTTTGGACCGGGGGCTTTCCTGGCGGAGTTGTCACATGTTACATGCTGGGGCCGCCCCGTCTCGGCTTCGTGATTCGTGCCAGGTCTACCTGGCAGAGTCTTCTGCAAAGTCAGATGCATCTATGCAGCAGAAACAGCATGCTAGGGACTGCAAGCGAGGTGGTGAGGACTGACAGGATTGATTGTGCGTTCGTGCTGTGACTCAAGGAATATGCCCGCGACGAGAACACAGGCGGCGCCTACGACGGACTATTTGCGGTGCTACTCTGCAGGGTCGTCGTTGGAAGCTCCTATGTTGTCGAAAAGCCTGGCGATTATACAGAAGCTTGGCCTTTCGTGCATTTACCCGTCGATAGAGTCGTCGTTTGCTGCCGTGCTCTGCTCCAACTGTCCTCCACCCTTCGACCAACCGCTGACTTTGTCTAGTGCTTGCGGGGAGGCAGTGAAGCATGACAAGCATCTCGAGTAGCATCTCAGGAGAAGTGTACCTCTGGCGAATTTGACAGCGTCGTCGGAGACCGCGAGAAGGCGGTTGGCACATTTCGGGACTCTCGGCAGCAAAGTGCACCCACACAAGGTGCGATGTAGGCCCAAGAACAAAGAAATCCAAGAAGTAGGCTGGCTGCAGCACATGGCTTGGGCTCTGCGCAGGAGTTCATCGTTTTTGACGAAGCCTCCATCTATCCCGAGTGCTCCGCAAAGTTATGGGGTGTAGCGCATAGCATCCATTGATATGTATGCTGAAGCTGAGTGGATGAAGGGCCTACAGTCAGAGCCTGGGTTTATGGTAATTTGCCTCACTTTGGCTCGAAAATGCTCGAAGGTACGTGGCGTTTTATCGCCGAGAGTACAAGGATGGTCCACCGCCGACAAAGCCGGCGCCAGCACCGGCGCCGTCATCGTATGCGCCCTCGCAGCACGAACGCCTGGCATGTTTGGCTGCTCACGCCAGCAGGCTCTTCCCTCCCCCTTCCCCCGTTTTGTGGTTTTCCCTTCCAACTCCCGCCTGCGCCAGACTATGCCGGCTTCTCCGGGGGGGGCTCGAACGATGCAGGTGGGTGCCTCAACATTCACGCACATGCTTTTAGACCGTTTGCTAGTGCAGTTGGTTGCAGACCATGGCAAGTATCCAACATTGTCAATCACCTGAACATCACTCTGCCCAATGCACGTTCGACGCAGCCCCTGTGCATCGCAAGACTGCGAGATTTGTTGGACAAAGTTGCTACATGTTGCTACTGAGTGGCTGCGGGTATGCACTAGATTCCTGGTGGGAGGAGGTACCAGGCGGTCAAAAGACTCAAACGGCGGCTCGAAAAACTCACGTCAGAACTGCCCTCCAGAACTGCACAGAGGGTTGCAGAAGAGACGAGTGCCCGATGTGCGGAGGCCGAAGTAGATTTGCCGGTTGCCTTTAGGGTTCCCTGTGTGCTCCCTTGAAACGCATCTGAGGATCTGTCGCTGATTGTTGAGAAATGCATCAGATCCAGTAAGTAAGCAACACGATCCCATGAGAAAACCGTTGAAGAACAGCCAGGGCTCTTGGCCTGGGTTCTTAGGGTTTAGGGTTTAGGTTTAGGGTTTAGGGTTTAGGGTTTAGGGTTTAGGGTTTAGGGTTTAGGGTTTAGGGTAAGTGACAAGCCGGCAGTCAGCGATTCTAACCATCCATAACAAGCCTCAAGTCAGCGACTCTAACCGAAGGCCCAAGTGTACGGTGTTCACCATCCCCAAGTTTCCAAACGGCTAGAAGGCGGAATTTGCCAGAAAAAATGGGTACAACTCGGATCAAGCCGATCCACTTCTCTACCCTTTATGATGCGTCTAGGGTTAGGGTTTAGGGTTTAGGGTTTAGGGTTTAGGGTTTAGGGTTTAGGGTTTAGGGTTTAGGGTTTAGGGTTTAGGGTTTAGGGTTTAGGGTTTAGGGTTTAGGGTTTAGGGTTTAGGGTTTAGGGTTTAGGGTTGTATATGCCATCTGGCGCAGAAATTGCTTGAGGCACCTTTGTTGTGCATTTGCATTCAGGTCCAGATTCCGGAGGGCGTGGAGCCCGGAGCCCGGATTCAGGCGAAGGCACCTTGGGGTGAAGCTTGGCTCCACTGAGCAGAACCCTAAACCCTAAACCCTAAACCCTAAACCCTAAACCCTAAACCCTAAACCCTAAACCCTAAACCCTAAACCCTAAACCCTAAACCCTAAACCCTAAACCCTATGAGGCCTCCTTTGGTTCCCTTTTTCTGCCGGTCTTCTTCACTTCCATGTCGGTCACGAAGCTGCGCTGTGCATGAGGACACGCTTGAAATTGTGGTTCCAGAAGGGGTGTCTCCGGGACAGACCATCACTGTGAGCGCCTAGAGGATGCGACTGCCACAAAGTGGCGCTCTGAGCGCATAGAGGATGCGACGGCCACAAAGTGGCCGGCGCAGCTTAGATGTGGACGCTGCGTCTTTTTTCAATATCTTCCGTCACTGAAGGTGACGAGGAAGGCCCAAAAGACGACGTGTTGTCAGTACTGTCCAGACCTTTCCTGGGAGCTGACGCCTTATGCGCTCCGTGATGAAACTTGGCCACAGCCCTCGCTTTGCTTTGCAAGGTCATGATCACTGTATTGGTGTTAATTGCATGGCCATTGGCAAAGCCAGTCGAACAGCAGCGGCGGTAGGGGGGGCATCAGTAGCCTGAATCAGAAGGGCATGACCAAGCAGGTGTGTGTAGAACTCAAGTTGCACAGTCTTGCAGATGCGGCAGCAGCCTGTGGCCCGAAGCCGAAGCCAAGCCAAGGAACACTCAGCTGCCTGACATGAACTGCCAGGAGCTTCAGAAGATGCTGGATGAGGAAAGGAATAAGAACCGAACGCTGGAGGACCAGCCAGGCTCCGAGAAGGTTTCTTCCAGCCCTGCAGCGATTTGTCGGGCAAGGTCGAAACTCTCCGCTCTTGTGCCCTCGGAAGAGTAATTGAGGTTGTTTGCTTTAAGGTACAAGCACCGAGTTGCTTCCTTTGCCTTCCCTGCCTGGTTGGGACCGTGATGCTCTTTCTGCCTGGATCATCGAATTCGCAGGTGTAGAAGTCACGTGAGACGCTGCCAGGTCAAGCGCGAGAAGGCGACCATGTGACTTGGTGGCTTTCAGTCGGTCTTTTGCTAATAAGAATAATCATAATAATAATGAGATGGTAGCAATAACAACAATAATACGATCTGACTGTCAGGCTTGGTATTTCACAGCACGCTGCAGCCGTCGCACCGCTGTAAGCGGAAGCTTTTGAACCGCAAGCGAAACCAGGATTCGCACGACGTACATGTGATGCGCGATCTGCTTGATGAGAATGATGGTGCTGGTAATGACTCTTCATGCCAGCAAGCTTCAAGAACCTCTGCAGGCGGGCCTTGTTGTCCTAAAGCCCTGCATACAAAGTGAAGGTGCTGCCCACGCTCCAAAAAGGATCCTGTGGATTTAGGGTTTAGGGTTTAGGGTTTTGGGTTTTGGGCATGAGAGTACCCTCGAAAAGCTTATCTTTTAGCCAAGGAACAAGATCGAGGCGCTGGAGAAGCGCCTCCTCGAGGGCGCCGAGAATGACGAGCACAGCAGCTCGGCCTCTCGTGGGCCCTCGGAGTCCTCTCGGGGGTTCCTTTTTTTGGTCATCCCCCGAGGCCTGAAACCTCCTGAAACCTCACAGCCCCCGCAGTCTGGCTTTGGAAAGAAGATGTGAAAAAACTGCAGTTGGCGCCACCGACACATGTGAGGATGAATTCGGGTTGCTAAGGCAAGCGGATGGAAGCCATTGGCAACATGCACAGAAGTGTCGGCCCCTCAGGCGATGCGGCTTGAGCTGGAGCGGATGTGCGCGCGCTGCCAATCCGAGAATTGGGTCCTGTCGAGGTAATCACAGGGCTGGAGTGCATCCAAACCAATACGGCAAAGATCCTCCAGGCGCACCGAAATCGATGCGCGAAAGAGTCAAAGCAAGCGGAGCGGGCAGGACCAGGAGAAAGACTTGATGCGTGCCTTCAGAGCTAGGCTGCAGGAGGTCTCCAAGGCCTGCGAGGGATGAACCTAACTTTCGCACCTAGCTCCGATGCCCACCCACATCGACTTCTCACTGAACAGCCTGGAGCAGAGCTGTTTGAGATGCTCTGTCATGCCTTTGGCTTGGAATTCTCCTTCCCATCATGTCGCGTGCGCCTCGAGGATCTGGAGGCGCAGCGCAGCCGCAAAGGCGAACACTCCACAGAGCCCGGGGCCTGGAGGTTGAGAGCGGTTTGAGTTGCAACGCCATGATCGCCTCTGGCCCGCAACAAAGCCTCCATAGAGTCGGGGGGGGGGGGGGTGAAGGGTGCGATTCGTAGGGATGCCCACTCAAGGCAGTGCACCACGTCGGCTGTAAAAAGTGTCTACTATGCAGAGCCGAAAGGCAATCGTTAATAGGGACGCCTGCTGTGAGTTTGGGTGCTGTAGGGTCACGTTAGGCCAGGATGGAGATGCACAAGCCGTCGTGTTTTTGACCGAGGCAGCAAGCACACCATCGAAGGGTGGCCCAGTCCTCACCATGATCAGATTGTAAAACTGTCTCTACCTCTCTACCTCTCTCTCTCTTTCTCTCCCTCCCTCTTTGCGGGTGTTTTTTGCCATTTTTTGCTTCTTTGGGCTGCTGAGGTTGCCGAGTTGCACAAGACGCAGGAGGGAGATCCGATGACTCCACGGCTGGGCATGGCCTCTGAAGATTGAGCCGCCAGGAGTTGGCTCAGACCTTTGACAAGAAGAACCAGCAACTGACAGCTGAGAACCAGAAGTCCGCTCCTCGAGTTCTCTGCTTCCGGCTGCTGCGTGTTGCTGTGTTTTGCTGTGCTTAGAGCTGTACAGCGACATCGCCTGGGATCGCCATCTGAGGCTGCAGGAGAAGCTGAGGACTCGCGAGGACGACCGCCAAGCACTGCTTCGTGAGCTCGTCCTTTCCAGGAGATGGGTGCATGCGCATGCCAAGCACTGCAGAGTGCTGTTGCTGTTGCAAAGAGTCCTTGTACCGGTCAACTTGCATCCCTTGCGCCACTCAACTTGACAACTGTTGCTGCGGTAGGCGCACTGCAAGTTCGAATGAACAGCTACATCCGAAATGCAAAGCATGCCAGGAAGGAGGTCCAAGCTCTGAAGCAGGCTGCGGGCAAGTCAGCCGGCGCCCTAAAGTTCAGCGAAGCGCCGCAGCGCCTACCAAAAGCCAGTACCGTAGCGTGGCGCAGCTTCTGTCTCAGATTTCTTGTATCCATGTCCCTCTACCCTAAACCCCAAACCCCAAACCCCAAACCCTAAACCCTAAACCCTAAACCCTAAACCCTAAAGTTCAGCTTCTTTCCCTTCTGTGTCGCCCCAGGCGGAAGTGCCCGAAGCCAAGGAGGCCGAGCCGAAGCCCAGCAGGCCGAGAGCTTCTTTTTGTGTTTTTTTTTCTCGACCTTCTTCGGGGTAGCCTTATCGGGGATTCTTCTACTGTAAGGGATCTTGCTACGATTTTTGGGGCGTCTATATGTTGAGTGTCCCTTATTTTGGTGGACCCCCCACAGGTTCAGACCTTGAGGGCAATCTCAAATGCTGAGGTTTCCGGCGATGGTTGCTTGATTCATACGAACCATTCATCCATTCATTTTTTGCAAGTAGGGGCGTGACTCTGCATAAACTTGTGATTGTCATTAGGCACAGGTGGCACGTCGCGACTTGGGAGACCAAGCCGTCTAAAAGCCAACACGCCGTCCGAACCATGTTGCGCAGTACGCCATGCGATCAGCATAGCATTGACTCCTCGATTTAGGCTTTGGGGTTTAGGAATTTGTTCTTCCATCGCCGTGATTGACTGTGGGCATGTGGGATTGCCAGTTGTGCTTAGAGGGACCTTAAGGGAGGGAGATGCATGGGGGGTACTCAGGTACCTCATGCGCGTGCGAATCAAGTCCTTGTTTTGCCCTACACACATGTACATGTGCAGAGCCATTGCGCCCTTTGAGGAGGGCTGTTGGGACTTAAAGAGTTCATGCATGTTGCAGACACAAAAAGATGATGCTTGAGGCGGAGCTTCTCGCAAAAGCAGATAGACCAAGCAAGGCTCCAGCAGACGCCGGCAGCCTACAAGGGTGTCTGTAGACTGCAGGCACTGCAGACCCGACCAAATTTCATCAGTCTGTACCCTTCTGGAGGCATAACAAGCAGTATGAACGGGAGGCTCGATGATGTGCACAAGGGAGCCGAGGCCGCGAGGAAATCGAATTTTTTCATCGCGGCGCCTGGCCAGGTAGCTTTAAGGGAAGCAGCTCTCAAACTGAAGCGCATGGTGGACGCTGTCTGTGCCTGAGGTGCCCTAGGTATCTCACCATTACTTTAGTACTACTCTGACCGTCTAACATGGTTGTTCACACACGCTTTGCGCATACGTGGCATCCCGTTCTGCAGCTACGAGGAGCGGCGGACGGTCGTGGCACTGAAGCAACAGCAGGCGAGGGATGACGTTGGAGTGTGTGGAGTCGTTTTTTGAAATCATGGAGCACTTCTCTGAATTAGGGTCCTTGTTTGGGTACCTTAACTATTAGGGGCCGCCTTAGGAGAGTAACCCCAAAAAGGACCAGGATTTCGAGAAGGGGCCGAATGGGTTCAGATCCCCCAAAGCGTCCAGAAGTCCACGCGCCCCGGCCAGGCAGACATGCTGCAGCAGAGGACAGAGTTGGAGGTCCTGCTCCGACAAAGCCTGGATGATGTGAAGGCGTGCAATGTATTGGGGGGGTAGGGGGGGTGGGGTGGCGGGTAGGGGCAGCCTGAAGCAGCAAGCTGCAAGAACAGAGACTTTGCAGGCAGAGGTTCTCCGGCTGGGTTCTCAGTTGATGTACCCTTTGCCCTTGTTTGCCTTCCGAGCATATTCGTCCCACGCGGGCTGAGGACGCAGATGCAGGCGGAGGGCAAGGACAGGCCAAATCCCCCCAGTTCCTTAGGCAGGGAATAATTCTTGCCCTATATATACCCTTTTAAGGGACTATATATAGGGTACCTCATCCCCCTCCTTCCCTGCTATAAGAACCCGCCAGAAATAGGAGGTTACCTTGAAGGCTGGGAAGCCGAGACCGTGCGCTGAGAGCTGCAGGATGCCAGCGTCCCAGGCAGCTCCAGCCCGCCCTTGGCGTCTGTGCCGCGGTCCTCAGAGATACCCTAAACCCTAAACCCTAAGCCCTAAGCCCTAAACCCTAGACCCTAAACCCTAAACCCTAAACCCTAAACCCTGAGTTTCGGGTGTTCCTTTGGGGGGGGGGGTTTAGGAAAATAAGGGGACCTGGAAGATAGAAACCCCAAATAGTAGGGTTTTTTCCTGAGAATAGGGACCCCAAACAGGGTACCCCGAATTTCGGAAACCACTGGCATGGATGTTGTGCTATTATAGCCATGTTGTGCCGGTGGCATGGTGTTAACCTCGAGGTCTGTGCACGAGCTCAGCGCCCAAGATCGAGAGCGGGCCGGCGGACTTAACAACTCACCGGGGGGGAGGGGAAGCTCAGGAGCCATTCTGCAGAATATCTGTATATGTGTGTATCTATGTATGTATGTATGTATGTATGTATGTATGTATGTATGTATGTATGTATGTATGTATGTATGTATGTATGTGTGTATGTATGTATGTATGTATGTATGTATGTATGTATGTATGTATGTATGTATGTATGTAGAGATTTATTTATTTCTCTATTTATTTAGGAGGAGGCCTGAGGAGGTGGCAGGAGGCCTTCTGGAAAGCTGTGCGGCCTAGGTCTTGGAGCTTCTTCTTTCGCAACAGCGTGTTGTTCCGGGCTCAACCACTGGGTACCCGTGCTTTCTCGTGCTACGGCTGTGAGCAGCTTCAGAAAGCAAGCGAGACAGTGAGAGGACTCAGGATTGCTGCATTCATACATATGTTAGCCGGATACAGTAGCGCCAGCCATCCAAACAACGCAGGAGACATCGCCAGCAAGCATCAAGAGCAACCAACATCACGAAGTGCGCGTGTTGTCTCGGGCCCGCGCCGAGGGTGATCAACCTGCCACACGAGGGGCCATAGCGCTGAAAAAAAGCACCGTCGTGTTGAATTTAATCTTAGTGCGGACTCGGGCAAAGCACAACTGTCGTGCCGGTGTAGCACGTAAGGTGCAGCTTCTTTATCAGAAGACCTTTCCGCAAGAGCCCGCTCATCCTCCTGCAGCTTGGGTGCAAACAGAATGACAAGTATTGCTGCGAAGCCTTTTTGTCACTTCGACTGTAACTGAGCCTTAGCTGCTCCTTGAACATGAGTGTGCGAAAGGCACAGTGAGGATACGTAGTCTTGAGCTGATTTCTGGCTTTTGTTCCCATGCCCGGTGTATTAGGCCTCTGCTCCTTCTCAGAGTGCTGCCGTCTCAGATTCTGAAGACGGCTTCTGCGCTCCGTGCTGTAGCAGCTGGCAGTAGAAAGCCTTGTAGAGCAGCGCCTGCTGTTTCTAGGGTGCTTCTGCTTGCAGTGCGCTGTTGGTTGCCTCCCTGATATTGCTGCCTTGCTTCTGTCTTGGCTGTTATTGAAGCAGGCTGCCGCGGCGGGCGATGAATTTGCCTGGCTGGGTGACATCATCCCATCTGACGAGGGCTAAGCTGGCCCTCAGACGAGTGGGATGCCCTTAGGTGACCGGTGCTTATGCAGGCAGGGTGTATCTGCGAGCATGTTGGAGAGACTAGACAGAACTGGGCAATGGCGCTAAACAGATGTCTCACTCAGACAGAGGTGTTTCACTGTTGTTTCACTTCACACTCGAAGACTTGGTGTCAGATCCACTTCAAAGATACTTGTGAAGGATTCCTGTGTGTTGACGTGGTTTGCAACTAGATGTTGTAAGCCACTTCTGTACAAAGGGCCTTGATGTGTCTGGACGCCCGATGACGCCAGGCTCCGCAGAAAAATGCTGCATGACATGCGCGACAGAAGACGGGCTCTTCACGTTATCTGGCCGTCGTGCTCCTACAAGCAGACCCTGCTCTTGCGAAGTGTGGGGCTCACGCGCCGAGTCTGCTGTGGAGCCCTGGAGTAGGCTGCAGATATTAGAAGTTAGGAGGGCCCTCCTGTGGGAGGGCCCTCCTTGGGAGGGCCCTCCTCCGGGAGGGCCCCGGTCTACAAAGCCCCAATGCCTTCCCATGCCGCCAGAAACCAGAGCGAGAGGCGATGGATGTAAATCTGGCCACTCATGAGGCCGCTCTTCTCGCTGTGGCCTCTCCTAGTCTTGGCCACCGCTCAAACTTCGCGGGGGTCCGCCATCCTCTATGTGGAGGCGCAGGATGGCTTGGAGGACAAGCTGGAGCCGGATGAGATCACACCCTGCCTGACTTTCGGGGTTCTGACCCTCCGGAAGTCGACGCTGACGGTGATCTCAGAGATCTTGAAGAAGCTGGGCGACGTCATGGACACCTCTGCCGAACCGGGCCCCGAACGCTTCCTTCTCTTTGCGGCCATGGACCTCATCGCTACGGCAGCAGCTCGGCCCATCGTCCCATCTCGGCCCTCGACCCAGGTTGCATCATGGCCCACGCATGCCCATGCCTTGTGTTGAGGTTCACCTACTGGATGTGACCTACCTTCTCAGCTGTGCGCGACTGGGATGTGAACAATGCGGCCTGGGACATGCAGAGCTGCCAGGAACATCGTCGGGGTCTGAGCCTGCATGTCATGGAGCTTCGCTCGGAGAGCCAAGAGCCAAGAGCCAAGTGTCACGAGCTCTGAGGTTCTCGGTGCAGTCCTTGTTCGCTTCCTTTGGTCGGAAGGCCACAGCATTTTGCCACATGGTGGAGTCTTCCATCGACCTCACGGAGTCGACTTTGGAGATTCGTCAAAGGGAGCCACCCATCATTTGGAGAAGAAGCTCGGTACAACAGGTGCGAGATGCCATACAGGATACCAGGGGTTCAGTAGAGCCGAGCGGTTGCAGAGACAGTAGCGTGCATCGCTGTGGACAGAGTACTGACCCTGGAAGGACTTGCTGACGTCAGGCATCGCGATCAGCATGGAGGCACACAGAGAAAGTCAGCTTTCAGCAGCATGCAGGTCAGGCTCGCTGCATGACTTGTTCTTGCTCTGTCCAGAGCCACTGACATCTAGTGAGTCTAGTGACTCAAACAAGAGATCTTCGCCAATTATGTCAGCCATGCAGTGCTGGTCTAATTTGAAGGAGCTTCCTGCGCGGGAAGACGCGCTTGTGAACTTGGGCGGCATCATGGGTCTACACCTGAGACTCGGCTTTTTGGAGTGCAGCTTGCGTCTTTCACCTGGCAGAGATAGATTTGCAAAGCTGGAGGCCAGGGCGTGCGGCTCACCATCTTGCAGCTGCTGGATGCAATCCCAGACATGGCCTCTGAAGCTCGACACCTGCCCAAAGGACACGATTTTTAAGTCTTCTGCTTGGCCGTTGCAAAGGAAAGCAAATCCTTCGGACGTCTGTGTGGACTTGAAGTGCAAAGCAGCGAGAGGAGTCCCGGCTTGGTCGCAGCGAGCGGCCGCGGAGGTCCTGGAAGCCAGCGGGGCAAGCAGCGCAACCCTGCAGGATGCCCAGGGATGCCCCTACTCGGGTGATCTTCGGCTGGTTGTACTTGGTTGTACTTGGGTTGTGCTCACTGCAACTTCGCATGTGTTCAGGGTCGGGTGCCTTGTGCGCTATCGCAACCCTTGAGGAGATGCTATTCCTCCTCCCCCTTCCACCAGCAGGCGTGAGCACAGTTGGCAAGAGCGTGTCCAGGGCATTCCGCCCATGCGTGATCAGGCTGGCCGGCGACGAGGGCATCGCCACTCTGCGAGAAGCGCTCCCTGCATTCTGTGGCAAGCTCCCGGCCAGGACGGAGCCACCGTGTGCATGTTCAGCTGGAGGTGCCATGCATATTTGTGGCTCAAGTGCAGTGGCATCTGCTGTCAGGCAGCCGGCAGGCACAGATTGCTGCTGCTCGACGCGACGCAGCAGCGACAACCACTTGGCTGGGTGACGCTTGGCATTCTTTCATGGTCGTTAATGTCACGTTTTGCAAGTTTTTTTATCAGCCGCCGGCTTCTCTTTGATTGCAATGGTTTCGCCCGCGAGCCGACAACAGCAGTGCGATGCTCAGGCATCACCGAGCCAATTGCTCAAGATCACTGCAACTTCTAGCAGGTACAAGCCATGTGCTTTCTTGAACATTGGCTCGACTTGTTTGTTCTTCAGTGTTCGTTTGCAGGCCGCTTTACCGCTCCTACGTGGCAGTCTGGGCCCCAGCTCCCTAAACCCTTAGCCCTAAATCCTAAACCCTAAATCCTAAACCCTAAACCCTAAACCCTAAAACCCTAAACCTAAACGGCATGTTCTCGATATTGTTGGATCTCCGCTCATCTCGTTCAGATCCGAAACGCGGGGCGCTTCGGCCAGGAGGCCAGCTGTGAGGAAGCGGTGGCTTGGCAAGACCTTATACGCCTTAAGCACACCAAATGCCAGCACACGGATAGCATCAAAGCACGCTAACACCTCCAAAGATTCTCAGTGGAGGTGGGCATACTGTACGATCCAACACTTTGCCTCGGCAGTGAGCTGGGCCTCAGCGGAGTGGTGCGCACCCGAGCCGCCCAGATTTCAAGCGCTTTGATGGCAGAGGAGGGCCTTTTTCAGATGCCTAAACGCGAAACCCTAAACCCTAAACCCTAAGCCCTAAACCCTAAACCCAAAACCCAAAACCCTAAACCCTAAGATCTACTTCCTCACCATGGATCCGGAGATTGACGACCCGTTGTACGTGCGATGGATTGGGAGGGAGCTCCGCTCAGATTCCACGGGGACAATGTGCTTCTGTGCTTGTCAGAGCTCAGCTTCCGTGGTCATAGTGTATCGCCATATATAGATATGGAAATATACGAAAAGAAGAAATAAAGAAAGACATAGATAAATAGACACATGAATACATAAAAAAAAACAAGTATAAATAAATACATAAATACAAATATAAATTCATAAATATAAATAAAAATATAAATATGAATATACATATAAATATACATACAAATATACATATAAATATAGATATAAACATAAACAAAAACAAAACCATAAATATAAATATACATGGGCATACAGATATACATGTATATATATATATATATATTTCTATTTATACGGAGTATTCATAGAACACAATCTATGGCGATTTTATCAGTTACAGTAGTATACGATATACGCGGATAGCAGTATATAGTGCTAGGTGAGAATGCATAGGTCATTATGGTGGTGCGCCGAGGCTTGGTCAGGGCAGACATCCCAGGAGCCTTTGATGCATCGCCAAGCGGGCCCAGCGGCGACTAGAGGGACGGGGTACCCCTAATTCCCCCCTCACTTCCCCCCCCGCCCCTCCCCCCTATATACTCTAACCCTTATTCTAATTCTGGCAATCCTGCCCCCCCCCCCCCCCCCCCCGACTTCGGGACAGCAGCTCCCTTCTAGAGACTCAGAAATACTCAGAACAAGTGCGAGCAGGAGCAACCGGTCTGGCAGTCCACCGTGGATCCAATCCTGCCGCCTCCTGATCCCTATGACCTCATGTGCTCATGCCATGCTTACGACGACTGGTGGCTGGCGGGCTGCATAAGTTGTGTGCAGAAAGTCTCAAAGATCGACTGCACTGGGCATATGCAGCAGGCACGAATGGTGCCACACCCCATGTGATGCACATCCTTTGGCATGGCAGATCTCTCAATCCGATGGCGGGAAATTGCCAAACCATTTGGGAGATCCTTCAGGCTGGATAGTGGCTGGATGCATCCAGTCGTTCCGTGTGTGCCGTGAAGTCGTTGTACGTCAATGTCAAAGTGAAGCAAGTGAGGAAGGTCGGGAGAATGATGTGTCCTGGCAGGCTGATAGCATCAGTACGGCCAGCATTGTCTACGTGCCCGTGAACCCAACTGTTCCTCCACCCCTAGAGGCCATGCGCTGATTGTGTGTGTGTGTGGGGAGATGACCGGGACAAAGCTGTCTCTTCTTCGCAACTATTCGTCTTGTCATGCGTCGGGCCTTGTGGAAGAGATCCTGTGCAGTTTGAGGAACAGTTGCTGCAGCCACTGAATATCTAGCTGTCGTGGAGGTCCGGCCAAATTTCACGCACTTTTACATCTGGCACCGGCGCAAGTCCAAAGCGGCTCGAAGGGCACGGGTTCTCAGACACACCGCGGCGCACCCCTGACTCAGACCGGCCCTAAAACCTAAACCCGGAACCCTAAACCCTAAACCCTAAGTACGACCCGGAGGATGCAGATGGCTATGACTACCTTCAAGCTGAGTATGTTCAGGCCGGTGTGGACAAGATCATCGGCAACCTTCAGGCCTTCCGAAGGTACATCGCTGCACAGCCGCCGTCTGAGTGTGGCGATGATCGGTTTTCGGGTTCAAGGCAGTTTAAGGTTTAGGGTTTAGGGTTCAAGGATGCACACGTTATTATGGTGTATGGCAGTGTATGGGGTCAGGCATCTGGTGTTCCCAAGCCTCTCCCGCTGCCTCTGACTTTGGTGGCCTTGAGGGTGGCCATGAAACGTGCCAGCACACGAATCAACCGGGCTTGCTAGTTCGTGCATCGCAGTGAACTCCAGCCAGCTCATGCCAACCCCGTTTCGCACCACAGGAAAAGGAGGCAAGACGCCCAACCCAACCTGACAAGTAATGGGTGCGTCAGGAAGCGCCCGATTATGTCCAGTCTCATGCATGTCTCGCTGATGCGGGCAGTGTTTCTGCTTTTGACACCTCTGAGTAACACCATTGCAGCGAAGAAGCAAGAAGAGCTTGTACCAAGGTGCTCACTTGAGACGGTCTCCAACCTTTTGCAGCCACTCGGCCGGCTCCTTTGTATCTCCGCCTTGCTGCACGTCCACTTTGCAGAGGGCTGAGAACCAGCAAAGCACTGAACTTTGCACCAAGGCTATGAGCTCTTGTTCCTGGAGCACTTTGTTGCAGCCTGGTCCCTATTCCAAGAGGAAGGACAGTATTATGCGATCACATGCCTTGAGTTCTTTCTGACAGACGGCCTATCATGTGAGATGCGCCCCTGATGATGCTTGCAAGTTCTTCGGGGATGCGTAGCTCCCCCCTCCTTCCCGCCAGGTGTTTGTGCATCATCATGTGGCCTCACTGGTGAGGGAGCAGCTTGGTCAGCCAGGCCTGTCGTCATACAGTCACTGCCGTGGCAAGTGCCTGCCAGCCGGGTCTTGGACAGGGACGACGCCATCTACTTTTGAAGTATGGCGACAAGGCAGCTCAACCCATTCCGCAGCTACGGGTGAGTTTACCTGGTTCCCAGCCTGTAGCAAGATGGTTACTTCCAGTGGAATGATGAGAAGGCTGGCATTGCTCGCCCTATTCCCGCTTCTTGGACCACTTGGAGGCGCATGCTTCTACTCCGATGTCACATTCAGGGTCCATGTGGAGTCAAGAGCATCGAGACTTATTCTTAAGCAAAGGCCGCTTGGCCCACAGGATGCCTCAGCCTGTGGGTTGCGCCGCTGAACTGGGGATGGTTCCCGCTTTTTGTTCCGGATCAGGTCGGTGTGGGTTTCGACGCTACCTGGCTGTGTCGGGGGCTCTGCATTTCTGTCTCAGGAGTAATCCTGTTGATGCATATGAAGCAGGGTTAATATTACTGTGTTTGGTGCGCGTATATAAGGTTCCTTTTCAGTATCGGTGAGTGTATATATTGGGTGTCCTCTTGGGGATACAAGAAATATAGACCCTCACACTCTCCGCATTGCTATCATTGCCTACATGAAAAGGGTGATTTTCAACATTTGTTGTGGAGCTGCCCTCGCTTTCAAGACATGCGAGCTGACTGGCCTGTTGCCCTTCAGCAACGGGAACAGTGGTCACCCTGCGCGCTTAATTTTATGATTTACTCTGCTGAAATGCCTGCTAGCTTGAAGGGTCAGTGGCCCCACTTACAACTGTTGGTCACGCAACTCATCAATAGATGGATGGAGTTTTCGCGCAACAAAGACCTTGTTTCCAGGTTTGCGCCTAATGACTCTCCGTCTCTAATGGTGGGAAATCCACAAGACGCGCCTACTACATGTCGACAAACTGCCCTGAAGCAAGTTTGTCCTCTTGACCTTAAATGGAACAAGCCTAACACTCGATCCAAGATGCAGGGTTGGGGAGGGGATGACGCTGAATTTAACCTTGTTTTCACTTTCTGGGCAAAGTGGACTACTACGCAACATCCTCATTCCGAACCGATTCAGTGTTGGTTGCAAGCATTTTTACTTTTTCTGCGTATTGGAGGACATAAAGCCAATTTTGTTCAACAAGCAGATTTTATTGGACGTGCTTTGTACAAATTTCGCACGCTATCCATGAAGCTACTCAAGCTTTGTTGGATGCACAGTGAACAACTCCAAGAATTTCTTGACTTTCAGCCTCAGCCTTACAAATGGATTGACAATTTTCCTTTTGATCTCACATTTCCCAGCAACCTCTTCTTCGTTCCTGCCTGGGATTTGCAAGGTACTTGCAGAAATCTGTCTCTTCTGCAAGCACAAACTGTGATTGAACAAGGTGTCAATTGTCAAATCATTCGTATTCCGCCGCAGGCCTTCCTTGACGCAGTTTCTGGCAAAAGCTGTCAACTTCAAGACAAAGATCTTTCAGCTGAATGGCCCATCTTTCGCATAAATGGCAAGTTCGCGCCGCCCACCTGGCTTACACAGGTATCGGATTGCAAGCTTTTGCCTATTCAGTTTCAAGAAATTACTTGCATTTCGCAATTGCCTCTGTCAACTTGGTGCAACATGGATCCTGTTGACATCAGGTGCAAATTGCGTGGCATCACCAAAAGGTTCATTGCGGCCAAGAGGAGATATGAATGCTTCAAAAAACATTTTCTCAGGGTGATGGAGCTTGCTCATTTAAACGATGCACGCCTTCCACACATCCTTTCCTCTGAGTGGACAATGGATTTCCGTTGTCATTTCTGTAAGCGACAGATTTTCTTCTGCAAAGCTCCTGACATGCTTCAATATTTTTGCTTCAAAGCTGTGCTGCTTGATGCAGACACGGTCGCTGATTGGGTTCAACGCTTTGATGACACAATTGACTCTATCTCATCTATCCTTGCGAAGCTTAACCATTGATCAGTTAATTCACGTTCTCGACCACTGATGTTGTGTGCTTGCTAACCGTGCTTAGTACAAATCTAAGCTGTCTCACCTTGATATGATTCACGACCTCCGGTCCGCAGTACAAGAAATATAGACCCTACTCCATATGACCCTGCGTGACGATGCGCCGCGAATCATCAGGTCCCGAGGATGGCTCCCAGGGAGGCCTTGGCTGTTCCAGGCCCGGGGAGAAGTGTGCAACAGGGAGAGGTGTGCAAATTCTCAGCCCTGGACCTTTCATCCAGAACATGTGCCCTACTGACTCTGCTGTAGGTCCTTCAGGGAGTTTCTCGCCGCCGAGGGGCACCTGTCGACCTTACGCGCTTGGCTTCGGGGTGATGCAAGCTGTAGGTGGCTCTGTCCTCATTGTCACCTGCGTGCAAGGATATCCGGAAACTACACCGGCAAAGGTCAGTGCAGAGAGGACCGCAGGGCATAGGTCAGACTCGGTCAGACTCGTTGCGTTGCGCCACACATGTTCGTCAGACTGATCGCGTCCGAGGGGGGGGGATACCATTAAGGTTGCTAGCCCCAATTGCAAGCCCATCTGCCCCACTCTCATCTTCTTCTTGGGGGGCGTGGCGGGTGCCAGGGCAGACGGTCTCAAGTTCCGAGAAAACAAGCCCCGCCCTGAAACTTGTGTGAACTATCAATGCCTGTGGCACGCCGCACGCTCGGCACTCCTATTCCACGAGCCCATTCACGCCATCCACGTCGTCCGCACGCCACTACCCAAGCCAGCCAAACCACTCACCCCACACCACCAACGCCAGTTCAGTCGGTTCCTTAGCGTTTTGGGAAGCGAGGCTTGCAGGCGGCTTTCTTCACAAAAGGGGTCCGTAGGGCGACCTCCCGTAGCATATCAAACAAACCTCCACTGCATGAAGATAAACTTCCGATGTTGCGGTGGAGGAAAGCCACCAGCCCGCAAGCCTGAATCCCTCAAACCTCAGCCAATGTATTTCGTCCTCGTGCTGTTTTCTGATTCAGCCCGCTCCGTTTCTGACTCTGGTAGTCCTTGTTTTCTGACTCGGCCCATGCCGTTTTCGACTCATGTTCCCGATTCAGCGGTCATACGGACGGGGCAAGTGGGTGGGACGATGCTGCCCTTGCCCCCCACAAAGGGCATCTCACCTGCTAAATTGGTCAGGATCTACCTCGCGCAACCAGAGGCACAACGATGCAGGCCTTGGCGTGTCTGTACTTGTCGTGCATTGCTATGGATGGCACGGGAAGGGAGCATGCGAAGATGCTTCGGAGTCTTTCGGAGCGACTCAGTTCCCAAACACGAAGAAAGTTCTTGCTTGGAGGTTCATGGTACTTAAGGGGCTTATGTGTGGAGAAAAGCTGCATTTTTGGCGGGTTGCTAAGTGCCCTGAACCTCCAAGTAAGGGTTCCATTTCGAGGCCATGCAGAGGCGGCAGATGCTCCTCCGAGGGACAGCCATGGCAGGAAGGGGCATGGCATCTGCCGAGGCAGGCCATGCGTACGGCAACACACGCCTGGAAGCCCCTAAGCCCTAGACCCTAGACCCTAAACCCTAAACCTTAAACCCTAAAGCCGCAACCCTAAACCCTAAATCCTGAACCCTCAACCCTAAACCCTAAAGTTGTCATCAAGTTGTCCTCCCATGAGACCATAAGAGCTGCAGCTGCAGGCCTTGGACATGCGGCCGAGGATGAATGCCACGTGGTGTAGGGCCCCCCAGGGGAAGGCACCTCAAAGCACACGGGCCCCCGAGGGAGGTACGACTCATGGACTTGCAGTTGCTTATCTCGGTAGGCCCTTTTTGGACATTTGGCATGTTCCCTTATTGGGTTTAAGAGGATCAGAGTCAGGAACTTTTTTCAGAGGGTTTCTAAGGGCCATCCTAGTTATAGTTGCTACTCGCCTCAGTGTTTGATGCTGGCTTGATGCCCATGTGCTCTCGGCTCAAGCCTCAAGTGTTGCGTGGGGGGGGCGCTTCCATTCTTTGTTTGGAATGTCAGAGGCAGCGATCCAAGAAGTTGTCCAAGAGCTCCTGGAGGGCTCAGGGGACCTGTCCGAGAAGGATGACTGCGGGCTGCTCCACTTCCTAATCCAGGGCCTTCGGAGCTCCAACGCCGGGGTTGCTGAGGCCGCAGCACAAGGTCTCCTGGCTCTTCTCTCTCGCAGCCAAAGCAACCGAAGTATCATCCGGGCATCCTCGGCGGCTTCTGCTGCAAAGGCCATGCACTTCCTGCGCCCGGAGCTGGCGGCCTTGGCGCAGAGGCTGTCCGACGAGCTGGAGCTTGATCCGGAAGGTCCCGAAGCTCCTACGCATGAGATGGAGAACTGGTTGAGCTTCACATACACCAAGGCAGAGCCTATGGCTGAGCCTAAGGCAGAGCCTAAGGCGGATCTGGTGATAACCTTGAAGATTAAGCTCAGCGAAGCCAGAGAGGCGGAGCTCTTGTCCAGCCACGGGTGGAGGGTCTGGCCTGGGGCGCAGGTGCTGGCATCCTGGATGGTGTCTCAACCAAGCTTCCTGGTGGGCCAGACTGTGTTGGAGGTCCAGTCTTGTCCCCTCATACGAACCCTATTAGGAGGGATCATGGAAAGTTGGAGCTTGAGTTTGGAAGAATTCTTGGGTCATGGTATGGGCGGTAGAATCTATTGACTGCTGGACATTCAAGCTGTCGCCTAAGTCCCTCTCATTTTTCTTTGCTCTCTTCATGGCATAAGCAAGTCTTGAAATCTGGCACTGGACTCCCATGTCTATGGCCAATGGCATGCTACAAGTCGGGCGTCACCCTTCCAAGCATCAGACCATATAGGGCGTCCGCCTTGTAGACTCTTCATATTTCTACCCTAAACCCGAAACCCTAAACCTAAACCCTAAACCCTAAACCCTAAACCCTAAACCCTAAACCCTAAACCCTAAACCCTAAGCCCTAAACCCTAAACCCCAAACCCTAAACCCCAAACCCTAAACCCTAAACCCTAAACCCAACTCGCTCTAAACGAGCGGCTGCTGGCTGAAGCCAAGTCGAGCTCTCTGCTGCGGAGGTGGGCGCCGGGCCTGGGCTTTGCGGCCTGCTGGCGGCAGCGCTTGGAGCCCGTGAGGTGCAGGAAGCAGGTTTAGGGTTTAGGGTTTAGGGTTTAGGGTTTAGGGTTTAGGGTTTAGGGTTTAGGGTTTAGGGTTTAGGGTCTCTTCTCATCATCTCTGCATCTGCCTCTTCGGAGGTGAAGCTGAGTGACCGCTGTCGGGCGGTTCAAAGGGCTCTTCGGAGCAGCGTGGAGGACGGAAAAGCTGAAGGCCTGCAATTTTTTGGGGGGCTGTCGCCGGTCGCCCTGAGGAGAACGGCTTTGAGAATGTCACAGTGGGCCCGCTGGATTGGGAGGCACTTGGGGAACATCTTGGGACAAGTGGGATGTTCCCCCTATAGGGATTACACTAAGGGGGTACTAGAATCCCTGCTATGGACCTGCTAGTATAAGGGGGAACATCCCAATGGGCCCTTTTTTCCCTTCTGCTGTGCGCATCGGCTCGGAAGCTTTGGACAGGCGCCATGCGCAATGGATCGCTACGACGTGGCTTTGGCCAGCGAGGCGGGATGCTGAGACTGAGTACCAGGGGAGGTGCGCAAGGGCAGCTTCAGAGAATTGGGCAGTTGAGCGCAGGCCAGCGCTGGGGGGAGGGCTTGCAGAAGAGCAAGGAAGAAGAGGAGCGCAGAAGAGAAGTAGAAGAGGGACAAGCCGCGAGACACCGATACCTGCTTTTGGACTTCGGAGAACTGTCCGAAAAATTCGCAGGTGATCTATCAGAAGCCCACGGTGGAGACTTAGATGCATACGGCGTATACGGCGCATGTGAGCAGCCGCGTTTTTTGCCATTTTGCCTTGGCCAGCCGGAGATTTAAGGAGATGCTGCCGAAGTTGCTTCTTCAAGTGCTCAATCCGGGAGGCGTCTTCTGCGCCTGCGAACCGATTGGGCGCACTCAGGATGGGGTCCTCCTGTTGCCGCAATTCTTTGAGCAGATGGTGGCATTGGGATTCATCAGGCTCCATGTTGAGACAAGGCACCTTGAAGGACGCGACGAGGAATACACCCTTTTCATGTTCGGACGTGGAGGGTGCGATTGCAACTTCGCAGGTCTGGATGAGACCTCAGAGTGAAAAAGGCGCCTCATGCAGGATTTCTGGGGGAGGCGCTTTTGGTTGCGAAGCCCCCTTCCCTCAGCTTCTCTAGCCGAAATGGTACATGCCCGAAGTGCGTGCAGCGGTTAAGAACAATTTACCACAACGTAGCATGGTCTTTGGAACATGCTGGGAGTTTACGAGAACAAGGGACCCCTTATATGGACCTCCAAATAGGAAGATTCCCTTAAAGACAAGGACCCCAGTAAGGTACCCCTACTTTCGGAAAACCGCCTGCTGAGGTCAGGCAGAGCATGGCTGGCATGATTGTAGCATGTTGGTGGCTGCAAGGGGCCTTTTCGCCTGTGATAAAAGTTCAACTGAGTTCAAGCACTTCCGATGCTTAGTGTGCCTCTCATAGGTCGACGTCGAATGCAGAGCGTGAAGCATCGGTCGGTTCCGGTTCTGTGAGTGTGCCAGCCTGCTGTGAAGCTTGCACCAGATGCCATATGGCAGGTCTTGCTCTTGCCTACCTCCATTTCGCGGGAGCGACTGTGCCATTGTAGACCAAAGCGAGCAAGACAAGGTGCCTGCAGAGCTCGTGCCTCTTCTTGCTGAGCCATCCGTGCCCCGCCTGCTTCGCCCCACGAGATTCTAGACCTTGTTGTGGAAATCAGGAGAGGCCTTTTCGAGGAGCACTTGTCTGCGTGCCCGATGCCCAGCTCGCTGTTGAGATGGGCAACTCCTCAGCGCAGTCACGAAAGCCACCAAAGCGCTCTCATCAGAAGCAAGAGTCCGGGGCAGTATTTGATGGTATAGGGTTTAGGGTTTAGGGTTTCGGGTTTAGGGTTTAGGATTTAGGGTTTAGGGTTTAGGGTGTTCCTATACCCTGCTAGGCTGGATGGCCAAAGCGCGGATGCCTTGGAGGCGTGGCGCGGCACAATGCGGGAAAGACACGGCTGGGCTTCAAAAGGGCCTGCTTGGGTTAATCTTTAAGGCTTCGCCCCCTATTTGTATATTATATATATGTAAATTATATGTGTAAATGTATATGTATATGAATATGTATATATATATATGTATGTATATGTATATACGAATTCATATTTCTCGTAGCCCATGACTTCCTCCCTTTAGTCGTTGCCTCAGGCGTTTCTGCGCTTGCGCCTTCGGATGCTCAATGGGTCCTGGCCTTTGAGGGAATCGGGGGTCTAAACCCCAAACACTAATGCAGGATTACAAGGACTTTGAAGGGAAACCCCTTGACATGTTTGGCGCATCTGGGAAGGAGGCGCTGAGAGTCCTCTGCCGCCTGGGATGTGTTCTCAGGCTCTCCGGATGGGAGTACCCCTTGATCATCTTCGTTGCGGGTGCCCTTTCCGATCAAAGCAAGGAGAAGATCCTCTTGGCCTTGGGCTCAGATTGTCTCAAACCTCCGCGCACACGGCATCATTGGATTCGCCATCTCGACCCAGGCAAGCGAGAACCGGGTGTGGTTCATTGAGTTGCAAGATGCACACCTTCAAGGCACCAGCAGCTGCTAGCAAAGGGGCACCAATGCGGTCAGAGCTGTCGAACATGTCGAATATCTTCGTTCAGTTGACGTTCGTACATATACCAAGATGTGAGTGCCGGCATCGGAGCAGCAGTTTTTTTTACACAGTACCATACAGCGCAACACCACAGCAGGCCTTGGTAGACTTTTCAAGAGTCCTCCCTGGTGGTGCACTGCTTCAGGTGACAGAATGTTGCAATGGTTTCGTCACACCCACCTCTTCGACCATCCAGCACTTGCAGGCCATGACCCTCATCTTCGAACACTTTTCCTAGCTCAGGCAACTAGAGGAGGTTGCGCGTCACGCGGACAGGCCTAGATGTCTTCTTGGACGCAACAGAGGGAGATATGGCCTTCAAGGAGGCACCACTTCCCCGAGATTGCCTATTTGGAGGATAGAGTGCCTGGTGTTGAGAAGGATCCGCTGCGGCGTCTCCATGCCAAGCAAGCCCACGCGGCCTGCAGGCACAGCCCCTACGATAGACCCTGCGACATTGCCTGACATGTGCTGGACCACACATCACAGGCTCAGGGAGGAGGCGGTTGCAAGCCCAGACCTGAGTGAAGACATGCGAAAGCATGCTGCTTTGGGAGGTTTGGGGCCCTAAGACAGGCAAGTCGGGATCTATTTTGAGAAGAGCATGATGCCTTTTCAATCAATAACCGTTAACGAGTTTCGCCATCTTCCCCCGTGCGAGTTGCCAACATTGAAGCTTGGCATCTGGCAAGGTGCAAGGCCGCTGCAGGAGCGGAACAGCCATGTCAGCGCCACCACTTTGCTGTTGTGTTCTCCGTGCCTCAGAGAAGCAGCCGGAAATATGCCCACCACTGGAACGGGCTCGCTTCTTACTGCCGCTTGCTCTCTCTTTTTCTCGGCCGCTTTTGTTCTCGACTGTTGCGTAGCCGTTTGGAGCGGAGTCATCCTACCACATACTCACAGAGTGGTTTCAGATACTCTTTTTCTGTAGGACGCCCTGCTTGATGACCTCACAGAGCTCTTCGTCTTGCTTCGCGGTCAGGCTGGTCACATAGGGACCTTTGAAAAAGCTCGAGCACAAGCACAGAACACTGCGCATGGCAACGCTCATACGGGATCTGTGTCCGATGAGGCTGCCGGCGTCAAGGGTGCCCAGGGAGACTGCGTCGTTTGGCAGAGGACTGCGGGCACCCTGTTGACCATCCCAGGGTTTAGGGGTTTAATTAGGGTGGTTTAGGGTTTAGGGTTGTTTAGGGTTTAGGGTTGTTTAGGGTTTAGGGTTTAGGGTTAGGGTTTAGGGAAAAACCTCAAGGGTTCCTGTCCAAGGTTCTCGTGCTGGGTGTGGGTTGGTGACAGGCTCAAGACTTAAGACGCGTTCGGCTGATGGGCGATGGCAAGTCCGACGAGCGCGTCCAAGCATAAACCTACAAGACATTGCAAGACTCCATGAACATTACCGTATGCCAGCCCAGCATGACACACGAAGGCACACATACTTGCTTGTAGCATCTTGCAGCAGATAACTACTCAAGGCTGCCTCTGCCTTGACTCGTCACAACAATCCCGCTTCAGGCCTCGAACAACCGGCCCCCAGACAGTAAGCTCCGGCACAGGAGCTTCCTCAGTGCCTCCCAGGTCTTCGGTCAGTACATCCAGTGCCTTGCATGCACGCCTCAAAGGCTCAGAGGGATGCGCCTCATCTTGCGAAGTCAGCAAGACAACAACAACGCAGAGCCATCGTGTTTGATCAATAGAATGGGTTCGTCTTCTTGCTGTAGACCACCCTTGGAAAAGAAGACACCCCACCCCATCACTGTGTGTCTGCACAGACTCGCAGAGGTTCTTGGAGGACGCCGTGGGCGGCGCTGCGGAGGCTGCGCTGCGCTTCGACGCAGCGTCCGTGCGGAGAGTGGGCCTCGGGCTGGTTCTCCGCGGCGTTCGCGCTCAGAAAGGCGCCGAGCTGCTGCGACACGGCTTCGGAAGCTTTTGGCACGTGTGTTTTTTTCTTCCACGCGTGCCTGCAATTTTTGGACAAAGGAGGTCAAAACGGAGACAGGAGGTGTGAAGCACCAAGCTAAGAATGGAAGCATCACACCAAGGATATTGGAATGAAGCAGCATGCCCTGATCTGCTTTGGCCACGGTCTACAAGTTGCACGAGACTGGCAGGCATGCCAGGGCAATGATGCTGCACATGGTAGGGCTGGCAGGGAGGCTCCGGAACACAGCAGAGTTGACGATTCCTTCCTGGTGCTAAAGGGCCTTGGTGCAGTGCCGGCGCCATGCCAAGCTCTTCATAAAGGTCCAGATCTTCAAGTACTTCGTAGATGCCGAGCGCGGGCGCACGTTCTGCATTCTGCCCATATCCGGAACCCAGCAGGTGGGACGCCTTTCGGCGGGGCTTCTATGCAAAGCAGCTGCATCGAATTCGGCAGTTCTTCCCTGAAGAGCAGCTTCTGGTGGTGGTCTCGGAGCGGTTCCGTGACAACCCTCGGCGGGAGCTGCAAGGAGTTTGCAAGTTTCTCGGGCTCTCCGAGGTGGAGGACTTGCCTGAAGAGGCGTTTGAAGAGCAGCATGTCAGAGATAGCTACCTGGACAGTCCATCAACGGAGTTGCGCGAGGAGCTCCGTAGGTACTACGACCAAGAGGTGCGGAAGCTGCGGGCCCTGTTGCGGGATGACCTCGTTGAGTGGAACGACGTCGTTGGCGAGACTCCTCTCATCTGGCCGGCCCCTCTCGGGGCTCAGTGTTGCCCCAAGGAGGATGCCGAGTGGCCATCTTGCAGTTCGCTGGAATCTTCCGCTGTCACAAAGACGGCATCGCCTTAGGAACTGTCAGCACTCGAGAGCCCACGCAAGAAAGCTGCACTGGTCGAGGCAGTGTCTGCGCGACTGAAGGGTGCAGGATCCTGTGGGAGTTTGTGCATCCCCCCTCCCCCCCCCCCCCCCGGTTTAGGGTTTAGGGTTTAGGGCCTTAGGGTTTAGGGATACCCAGTCCCCCCTGTTCTTGCAAAGATATGCAACAATCCTCGCAAAGGAGCCGCCCTGAGCTCGAATTTTGGACCGGCCAAGCCTTCTTATTGAGGCTCCCACATGGGATTAGGCAAGTTCAAAGCATGATAAGATTCCCTCTCCTCAAGCAGAAGCCATGGATGAGTTTCTCTTCGCAGCCAGCAAACCCAGCAATTATAATTGTTGGCCTCATGTTCTTGATGCCCACAGTGGGCCAGGGTGACATGACCTCTCCAGTCTACAGCAAATACAGACGGGCTGCCACCCATGGCCATGGCTTTTGTTCGCGCAAATCTGAGGCGTCTGTTTGCCTGTGGGCTATGCAGCGGTAGCTGGAAAGGAGTTCTAGCGATCTTAGCTGGTATCTTGCACGGTGAATGTGACTGTGCTCTCCTGCTTTGAAACAATGATGTGTGTAATTTACCCACTGGCAGCAGTTGGTTTCGGAATCACCTTGAGTTCACTGCTGGGTAGACCTCGCCATGCAATCATGATGTGGACATACCAGTGTGGTCAACGCATGCGCAAGGCTGCGAAACAATCGCGCCACTACGAGAGGCCTGCAAATCCCATGATTCCCCTCCCAGCCTTCATGTGCCGTTGTATGTGCCGTTGTGAGCGCAGGAAACATTACGCCGAGCGGTCCAGCCAAGCTAAGCCTGGTAAGAAGGGGACACGGAACATTGCGGGAGCACTCCCAGTTGTTGGCTTCAGGATGCTCCATGGCCAATGAGAAGTCGAAGAAAACAGAAACCAGGCTTGCGGCCTAAGCTTCTGAGTCTGTAGTGTAGGCCGTGTAGGCAAGCTGCATCAGTGGCAGCACAAACCCGCAATTCTGGCGTTCAGCATAGTCAAGATGGGAATGAGCAGGTCGCCATTGCTGGACTTTCAGCTAGACTTGCGGGAGGCCTGTCGCAGAGCCAGCCTGGGCTACAGCAAGCATGCTGTCTCGGATGCCACGTCCCAGACATATCAGGTAAGGCACATGGCGCCACACGTGTTGGCATCTGCCGTTGCAAGCGCAGGCGCAGGCTCGTAGACCTCGTAGACCGCAGGGATCAGCGCTCCTGCCACCCCAAGATATGAATTCTTCGTGAGAGAACATTCACAGCGATGTGTAGTCCTGCCCACGAGTCCCAGAAATCATATCCCAGGCCGCCACACGTCCCCGGCCCTGTGGCGGGCGTACGCTGAGCGGGCCTCCGAAGTTCGGAGGCACTTGACAGTCCGCGATCTCAGGCGCCTGGCTGCGTTGATTTTGAAAAGCCTGGCACTCTCAAGACTCCCAAGTGGGCAGCTTATCAGGCTCTGTCATAAGTCTTGGGGTCTTGAGGTTTTTTTGAATCAGCCCAAGATGTCAAGCACCTGGCTGCGCTGTCGTACGGTGTTGTACCACTCCCTGAAATCTTCTTCAACGCAGGCGGCTTTTCCAGGGACATGCTGCCGCTGGCAAGAAGGATGCAGTCTGGCAGTAGGGGAAATTGTAGAACCTGGCCATAGGCAGCCAAAGTGCCCTGAAAGTCGAGAGAGCTCTGCGTAGCAGCAGGACATCTCCCTTTTTCGTGATCTTCTGAAAGATGCATCGTGGAAAGGACCTGCGCCTGCTACAGAGTTTAGACCGGGTTGCTGACAAAAGGTTGTGGACTGCCGGGGGTGAAAGATTGGCTTTGGCTCGCGGGCGAGAAGGTTGGCACCGCATCTTACCACACTTTGCAGTGGAACTTGAACTTTGTGCTTGCTTGAGGAGATCCACAAGTTTCAGTGAAAGACCTATGCTACGTTGCGGTTGCGCTGGCCAAGCTTAGGCCGCGAAGTGATTGACGGCGTGTGTCCCCACACTCCGAACTTTGAGCACATGGCCCTGGCAAAGCAGGTGCAGTGATGACATCTTTGAGACTCTGACGGCTCACTTTGCTGAGAACAGCATGGAGGACCTGGAGAGTGTCGACATCGGCAGCTTGGCGAACGCTTTCTCCCGAGTCGCCCTCACGCACAAAGTCTGCTGGGCGAGAATTTCGGAGCGCCTTCGGGCCGATGCCTCCACTGCACCTTAGGGATAACTTGGGAATAATTTGAATTTTGGGGTACGATAACTCCTAAGAAAGAGGTAAATGTTAGTTTCTTGTTCCAGGTTCAGTTTAGGCACTGCTTCCACCTGAAGCTGCAACCATGGCGCTGAACGCCTTTGCTGTCATCAAGCACTGTGATTCCGAGCTCTTCACGACCGTGGTGCAGAGCTCCATCAGGCTCTTGAATCCGATCCGAACAGACTTGGGGTTCTAGAAAACCGGCTCGAAAAAGGGCGCGGACTCGTAACAAACCCAGACCTGGCTACTCAGCTCTCCCTGCAGGCCCTGCGTCGCCGACTACACGATGACACAGGCAGCCTTGCTTCTGGATGCAGTTGCTCGGTGCAGCGCGGTGACTCTCAGCTCAAACGCCTCATTTGCCTCAGCCCCCAAGCGCATTTTTGCTGAAAATGCTGGAAGGCCAAGAATCATTCAGCAAGGTGAAGCCCCCATGAAAGCGCGCGAGTCACGCTTCGGCGAAGCGCGCCACCTTCAATTCTCCTATGCTAAGTGCTGGTACCTGCTCGCGGCGTCTGGTGCCGGGCCCACGCGTGGGTTTAGGGTTTAGGGTTGAGGGTTTAGGGTTTAGGGTTTAGGGTTTAGGGTGTAAGGTTTAGGGTTTAGGGTTTAAGGTTTAGGGTTTAGGGTTTAGGGTTCAGGGTTTAGGGTTTCAGGACCCAAGACTTGGCCCCGGAGCTCTTTCGCAGCTTCATGCGGCTCTGGCTGTCGCAGGGGCACCTCGAGGAGCACATGCCTCTGTGCGGGGGGGGAGCTCGCCAACACCGCAGCTTCTGGCAGCAGCCGTAGCAGTTCTAGCATGATGTAGCTGTGATGTGCACAGTGACACAGCAGACGCAGCACACACAGCAGACCCCCCGGATTAGGTTTCTGACAGTGTGAAGCCGCGATCAGTTGAAGCGGACCCTTTGCAGGAGCTGGCACGTCCGGAGGATGCCTGGCTTGCAAGTTTCTCGCAATCTGTTGGTGGTCATATGTTGATACTGTAGATGCAGGACTCTTCAGAAAGAGCCACTTCAATTCGAAGATTGCTTGTTCAGCAAGCTCATAAATCGAGTAGCACGAGGAATGTTCGAGATGGGGTGCAAGGCAAAGAAGTCAAATGCACCATAGGTGATCCAAGCTTGCTTCCGTCCACCAGTCGTTTGTGATAAGGCTTCAGATGCGGAATTTGCCAGCCCCAAAACATCAGCAGTTCTGAACACACAATCCTGTGGAAATGCTGCTCTTGGCAGGATGGAGGTTCGACGTACCTTGCTAAAGCCTGAAACCCATACCCTACTCTCCCACAGACTCTAGCCAACCGCCCGACGGTGGCTCGTCGCTGGAAGTAAAACTAGACAAGAGCTCTGCATTTTCAAAGCAGGGTATAAATTGCTCTGCCGCGCAGGCCCTGTCTACTAACTGCGCTTCACCGCGGCATCCCTAAGAAGCGCATATGTCCGCAAGACACCCTCCATGTCTGGCTCGGCCTGAGGATCTGGCTCACTTGGCAAGTTCCGCTGTGAAGCTTGGCATTGTGCAGGATGGGTTCAATATTTTCCAAGTCGGAAAAGGGGGATCTGCAGCCAGCCAGCGTTTGAAAAAACAGTTGCGACTGCTTGCCAGGAGGAGGAGCTGAATCTGGCGTTGGCTTCTGCTGGCCTCCAACACCTAGGCCAGTTCTCTTCTTCGCAGCTGGCGCTGTTTTGTAGCAGCCTGGCTCGGCTGCCTTCATCCGGCCGGGCTGCCTTCTTGGGCGTGGCTGCAATGCAGGTCTCGGCTGCACCAAAAATGACAAGACAAGCCATGGGATAAATCATAGAGAAGCTAGCAAGTGATGGGTGAATGTTTTGGGGCAGCGCAGCTGTAACCCCAGGTTCAGCCCATGATGCGATTCAGCTCCTTCGTGGACCTGGGCCTTCTTTCACAAGCCTTCCTGTCGTGCGGCATCAAGCTCACGCGAGAGGCGTCGAGCCTGTACCTGCACAGGGTTGCCGTGGTTGCCAAGGAGGAGCTCGCCAACTTTGCGCAGCCAGGCTCCCCAGACCTGGCCAACAGTCTGGCAGCTTCACTGGAGCGGGTGGCTGAAGGTTCCCTCCAGATATTGATTGGTGTGGAGGGGGACCTATTGCTTGCTGCCATTCGGCCGTTGACCTTGGAGCTCTGCGATCGGAAAGCTGTGCGTCCGCGAACCGCTGCCGCAGTTCTGGGCCTGCATGCGCATTTCAGTATCCGGGATGAGGAGCTTTTCCAGGCCCTGCAAAAAGCGCAAGAAGCACATCCTGACTTTGGAGCCACGCTTGCTGGAAGGTTCTTAAGACCTTTGGGTGCACTTGGGTATCCATCTGAGCCCTTCCTGCGCAGCATCGACAAAAGTTTGGGATCTCCAAGCGGAACTTGGCAACGGTCGTTGCCAGCGCTGGCAGCAGACCTGTTTGCAGCAGCTTTGGTAGACTTCTCTTTTCTGTCAGAAGGGTCCGTCACGAACCTGTGTAGGGCAGCCAAGACGCAGTGCCAGAACCACTTGCCGGCGGCTATATCCCCCTTGGGAAGTTTTTTGTTTTTTTAATACTTTTTTTTGTTGATATTAAACATATTATCTTTATTAAGGTTCTAAGGGGAATATAGTTTAATGTCATTTTTATTAAGGTTCTAAGGGGAGTATAGGCGGACGTGGCCCTTCGGATGAAGTGCGCTGGCGAGATTGCCGCCGCGAGCCATGCCTGGCTCAAGCAGGTGCTGAGCTAAGCTTCCCTTCTTTCGCAGATTCCCCTAAACCCTAAACCCAAAACCCTAAACCCTAAACATCCCTAAACCCTAAACCCCAAACCCTCAACCTTAAACAAGAGCTCCTAAAGCTCCTTCCGATGGCAAGGTCGCGGGCCACGAGGAAGCCTGCTGGCTGGCAGACTGGGCGGAGGAGGCTTAACGGTTTAAAAAAACGAACGGCTTCGGGTGTCTAAACCCTAAACCCTAAACCCTAAACCCTGAACCCTAAACCCTAAACCCTGGACTACCCTAAGCCCTAGAATGTGGGACGATCAGCCGATCTGGGGGGCTTGTCAGGCCTTCTCCGCTGGCGGTCCGCAGCACGATCTCGCGCCGCCTCCGAGTTCGGCCTTGCTGCGCTCGGTCTTCGCGACGCTGCACAGGGTGCAGGACGGCAGATCGAAGGATGAGGAAGGGACTGAGGAGATGTAAGTTTAGGGTTTAGGGTTTAGGGTTTAGGGTTTAGGTTTTAGGGTTCAGGGTTTAGGGTTTAGGAGGGTTGTTCAGCTTAGACCAGCCCAATCAGCTGTAGTGTGGCTTATCTTTGGTCGCATCAGGTGTGTTCCGTGATTGATCGGATTGCAGCAGTAGCTTCTCTAGGAGCCTGGTGACGAGATCCTGGTTTCTTGGCCTGTGCATGGCTTTCGTGCAGACCTCGTGCTCCGCAGGTGCGGACTGCAGCCAAGGATAGTGCCTGTTGAGTTGAGCGGGCATGGCTCTGTGGCAGGCCTGGCAGCAACCTCTTGGCAATCGAAGTCTGCAGCAAGGAATGCAGGGTGCTCAGCAACATCTCAAGCTTGTCCGCACACGGAAAAACATACGGAATGCTTGGATTGAGTTCCGGTTGAGGCTTCTATGCAAGGAGCCAGCAGCTGCTCGCTCGCTGTGTCATGAAGCATCGGCTACTCACGGAAGCTTTCGGTGGCCCACCGGTGCAGGTGGGGCTTACCGATGCACCCGGATGAGTAGACTCTGCCATGTTGATCACATGTATATGCTGTGGGTGTATGCCTACCAAGCCCCGCAAGTCACGGGCGCACTGCATGCCCACATCATTGCACGAGCTTTGAGAGGATGCATCTCTAAACGTAAAGCAACGAAACTGCCCTGAAACCCTGAACCCTGAACCCTGAACCCTGAACCCTAAACCCTAAACCCTAAACCCTAAACCCTAAACCCTAAACCCAGCTCCGGGCGGAGGTGAACTCATGGGAATGGCCGTCGCAGCCAGAGGACCAAGAGCAGTTTCTCAGGACTCGGTGTGAGCGAGCATGGGCAGAAGCAAAACAGGACGCTGCTGACCGAAGCCAACATCAATGCTTGACAGGGCAGTCGATGCTAAAATCCCGAGGGGATGACACCATACATGAACGCTCGAGAGCGTGCCTTTAGTGTTTTTGAGTCTTCGTGTGAGTAGCAAAGGGAATTTAAACCCATCAGATGCCAAATTCAATTCGCTAATGATAGTGCGGCTTTGTGGTGGGTAGAAAGTTTAACGAACTGGCATGGAAACTTAAACCGCAACTCCCATCAAACCTTTTCATCCGCCTTCTGGAGCTCAAGGTAAGATTCAGGCAAGCGATAGGAAAGGAAGTGAACCAAAGCTCAACCCCTGCGTGATACTCCAAGCTAAGCCTTTGTGGAAGGTGTGAGACATGTACAAGACTTCTTATGACATGATTGAAGACGGTATGAATTTGACGTGTAAGAGGGGATGAGGCAGTCGTGATGTCTGAAAGTCTGGATGGGCGCAACACAGCGGCTTCACCTTTTATCCCTTCAGCGGAAGCCGACAGGGGACACACTTTTCAATCCTCAAGCACTGGGAGCCCGGGCACTGCTTGTACACCACCTTGCTGACTTAAGTCCTCCGATCGGGTAAGCAATGGCAGCCATGCCAAGAAATCCGTCCGCACATGCCGTATAGCCTCTGCCGCAGCCAAGTTACTCAGCGAGAGTAGCGATGGGAGCAAAGAACTCCTGGATGCGGATTAGCGAGAGCGATTCTGAGTTGGATGAGGAGGCCAGTCTCGTCAGCCTCAGTCGAGGTTCTGCGGACTCGCAGCGATGGCTGGACTTGATGTCGACAGGCAAGGAGGGTGAGGAACTCAGGGAAGACTCTCGGGCGTTGGTGGACAGATACGATCTACGATGTTTGGCAGCGCTGACCTACGAAAGATTGATGGTTCTGTTGGATTGCAAGGCAACGCAGCAGCAACAGCAGCGCATGCTTCGGACTGGTAGCAGCCATCAGAGGCTCGATGCCCAGATCTCCATGCTGCAACTTCAGACCCAACAGAAGCAGGCGAAAAAGGAACTGGAGGAGTCTGACTTCCTGGTCCTTGTACCTGAAGATGAGTCCGAGAGGGGGTTGAAACATCAGCTGGACAACATCAGCCGCTGGGAAGCCGCCTTCTTCGACTGGGTGCGTGAGCTGAATGCCCTTAGCCCGAAGATGTTTGTTGAGAATCTGACACTTCTGCGCATCGAATACGGCCAAGAGAACCTGAACCGCTTCCTACAAAGTCTGAGTCTGGAGCTGACCTGGCCCAGAGTAGAAGCCCGAATCAAAAGAATGAGCGGCGTGGCGTCAACTGAGCTGAGCCCATGGGAAGTCTTCAAACCGCAGGAGCGCAATTTCTGTGTTGTAGGTTGTGAGGACTTGACGGGACGCACTGCGAAGTCCAAGTTGAAATCCTTTGTTGCCAGTGTCAGCAAAGAGAAGTTCGAGCGGCAAGGTGCATCGGCATGGGAGGCGTGGCATGTGATCAAGCAGTTTGGCAGCAAGATGCTGAGTGGCGAGCACGCCTTGATATTCGAGGCTACCTACAGTATCACTCCGGCGGTGCAACTGTTTGAGTTATCAAGCTGGGATCTCACCATGGCTCTGAAGGCACTTGTAGATGCGGGGCAGGTTAGCCAGTGCTTCAATACCGTCCTGGGCAAGGCGATCCTCAAAGAATCGCTGCGCAGAACCTTCATGCTGCGAGCATGGTATGCCTGCCTCGACCTACTGTTGGTGATTCTGCTGACACACCTGGGGAGCGCTGCGCAGAGGCAGCAGACGCCCGACAGAACCGTCATCTGGGCTTTTGGCATGCTCAGCTCATGGATCTTCATGTCGTGTCTCTGCAAGATTTTTGTGGGGCTCTACTTCTTCGTGGATTGCGCATCCTTTTTCACGAGCTTGCTAGCTGCTGTTGGGAGGCATCTGACCCTGTGGAACTTTTTGATCACTGCATCAGAGCTGTACTCGGCCACGGTTGGTCTGCAATTCCTTAGCTGCATCAAGGATCCGAAGCTAACGGGCTTCAATTATTTCGAAACTCATCCTGTCATGATCTCGGTCCTCGTCTTGATACGATGGGCATTGCTGTCCATTGATTTCTTTCAGATCGAGGAGATAGGGCGCCGCGTCGTTCCCATTGTTCATGCTGTCAGCCGGCCAGCTTCTGTCTATTTCCTTTTCTTCTTGGCGCTTATGCTGGCAGGGTCTTTTCAGGCATACAGCGTCTTTCCCATAGAGGAGAACGTTGGCGGTGCCAACACGGTGCTCAACACGTTCCTCAAGATCTTTCGCCTTGAAGTGCTAGGTGGGGCAGCATGCGGAAGCAGAGACTAACACGGTGACATGCCGCAACGAACGCCTTCTGGTGGATCGTAATTTTAACGCTACGCGACCCGCCTCGGCTCGGCCCAACGCATCCGCGTGAGCATGGTGATTCCGCATCGCCCAAGTCGCTGGACCCCAAGTAATAAGGGTTGGGTTTAGGGTTCAGGGGTCCGGGTTTATGGTTTATGGTTTATGGTTTGAGGTTTAGGGTTGAGGGTTAGTTTAGGGTTGAGGGCTTAGGGCTCAAGGGGGGGCAAGGGCAGGGGGGGGGGGGGGGTGTGGCAGCGTAGGGGGGGTGGGGGGTGGCGGTGGGGGGTGGGGGAAGGTGGAGAAATGAGGGGTGGGAAGGGGGGGGGCCTGCTAGGCGGGGCTTCAACTGCCCCTGGTCCTGGCGAACCGGCCGCTTTCAGATTGTGGTTAGGCCAGTCGGCATTTTTTTTCCTCTCTCTCTCTCTCTCGACGTGCCAGGCATCGTGCATCTGTCGAAAAAAATACTGAGTCGCAGCCTCGCCTAAACATGGAGGAGATAAGATACTCGAGATGTCGACCGCATCTACATAAGCACAGGTTGACGTCGCATACATTCTATATCTATTTCTATTTCTATTTCTATTTCCATTTCTATTTCTATTTCTATTTCTATTTCTATTTCTATTTCTATTTCTATTGGTGGTTCGCTGACAGTGTCAGGTGTGTAGCTGAAGTGGTGTGAGGCAAGGTGCGGTAGGGTTTGTGCAATGCCTCGAGTGAAGCGTCGGGGTCATAACGGGTCACCCCTCAAGCGAGGGACTCGAGGAATTTCGTGTGCTGCAAGGACACTGTCCTGGCAGGTGTGCAGACGAGTGTCGCTACAGCCATGGTGTGTGTGTGTGTGTGTGTGTCTCTGTCTGTGTGTGTGTGTGTGAGAGTAAGTGCGTGAGTTTGTGATTGAGTGAGTGTTTGTGTGTGTGTGTGTATGTATGTGTGTGTGTGTGTGTGCCTGTGTGTGTGTGTGTGTGTGTGTGTGTGTTTGTGTTTGTGTTTGTGTTTGTGTTTGTGTTTGTGTTTGTGTTTGTGTTTGTGTTTGCGTTTTGTGTTTGTGTTTGTGTTTGTGTGTTTGTGCAGCAGTTGCGAGTGGCCCGTCAAGTGACCGAGCATCATATCCACTCATACATGAAACGATGGAGGCTCCAGTGCGTGATTGGAGCAGCTCTCGACGGTCGTTGTTGTAGAGGATACTCCTCGTTTATGAAGAAGATGCCGTTGACTAACCAAGTTTGACAACTTGTACAGAGCGTCTTATCAGACAGCATCCTGGCCTAGTTCAGTACCGAGGCATCGACTTTGTCTCGTATGGAAACATGATTTTTCATGTTCCCTTGCATTCGTGTGTCATGTTGTGCTCACAGTGTCATGTCTTCCTTTTCCTGCGCCAGGTGATTTTGATCTGGATGAGCTTGAGGGCATCAATGACAAGATAACTGGCGTCACGAAGAACGGGATCATCGAGGGAGACGTAGACTCGGACCCATCTGACTGGAGCGATAAGTATCACAGAGGCGTCAGATTCGAGTTCATGGCCTTAAGCCTCGGCGTCACAGTTGTGGTGATGAACGTGTACATCGGTTTGCTGGGATCTCTCTATGACAAAGCCGCACAGAGAAAGAACCAGCTCTATGCTCACTATCTGGCCAGCCGCTGTTACCCACATATGTGCGAGAGGCAGCTGCAAAGCCGTTGCTTCGGCTGCTGTGCCCGCGGCACGGGCAAGAACCATGGCCATGGCAACAGGTTGTACTGGCTGGCCTACGAGAAGGCAAGGGGGCTATAAGGGGCCAAGAGTCAAGTTATGCCTTGTGCCATGATCTCCTGATGATCTCCTTCCCCTGTTCAGGATAGGCTGCTGGATGGTAGCGACGACTGAAGGGTGCTTGGGCGTCGGCGTAGCATGGCGTCTCAAGCGCACATGACTGACGGCAGCGTGCAAAGACGCGTGCGCTCTTGTTGGTTCGCAGAAATCGGAAAGGCAGTTGGTAGCTGCAGACTACTGCTAGGGTGGCTGTGGAGCATGCCGAATGATTCGATCCATGGCTTTCTTCCAGACTTGCAGTTCGCCCACATTGCCGCCAGTTCTCGGAGCTATTGCAAACATGATGCGAGCAGCGCATATGACCCTTATCCTGCCTCGTTTTTTGACTAGCCGGGCAGCCAGCCACACACACAGACCACAAACAGACATGGCAGCATTCGAAATACCCAACGTTCAACAAGAATCTTCTTGTCAGCGGTGCAGAATATTTGCTCAGCGGCACCACCGCGACCACTGCATCATGGTTCGGACCGAAGAGAGAGGCACACCTCCACGCCGTAGCCGGAAGCTCAGATGGTAAAACTTGTGACATGAACTGCATGGGGTTGCCCAAAGATGTCACAAGTCGAGGCGTGGATCTGTCACACCTGGATGAGACGGTGGAGCCTTTGGCCGTCCCCTCATCCGGCCTTGGTTTGGAGAGATGTCAGGTGTAGTGAGTGCAGGGTTGGCCTGAGGACTATGAGAGAATGCTGGAGGAAGGCGCCGAAGAAGCTCCCAGCGCCTTGATTTGAGCTAAAGCAGCTTGTGTCATCGTGAACTGGACCCGATAGAGAAACATTTTGTTTCAAAACTTCTTGCCCAGTTCTCTTGAGGGTTCTCGCCTCGGAAGGTATCCCCCCGCTTCCTGGTGGCATCACCCAGGGCCACTGGGATGAACTTGGAAAACTGCAGGTTTCCACACAAATGTCACATCAAGAGCTTCTAAACCCTAAACCCTAAACCCTAAACCCTAAACCCTAAACCCTAAACCCTAAACCCTAAACCCTAAACCCTAAACCCTAAACCCTAAACCCTAAACCCTAAACCCTAAACCCTAAACCCTAAACCCCAGTTGGAGTCTGTCGGTTGCCACAACTCGGGGGCCGGCGTTCAGATCCCTGAAGGCATGTCAGGGGTTTCCTCGAAAAAAGGGACCCCTAAAAGAGTCCCCCAAACAGTAGGGTTTAGGCTTTAGAGGGTTTAGGGTTTAAGGGTTTAAGGGTTTAGGGTTTAGGGACCCCAATAAGGTACCCCCCCTAGTTTCGGAAACCTCCCGTAGAAGCTTGGCCTTGAGGCGAGCATGAGGTGCAGATGGCGAACCTGGAGGCTGGCACTGATCTGTTAGATGGGTTTAGGGTTTAGGGTTTAGGGTTTAGGGTTTAGGGTTTAGGGTTTAGGGTTTAGGGTTTAGGGTTTAGGGTTGATGGGGGAAACTTCGGAATGAAGTCGTCTGAGTCATCTTTCTGCACTTGCGGCCGCGGCATCCGCACTTCGAAGGGAAGCAACCCAAATTCCCGAAATTTGGTAGCTTGCCCGGAATGCTGTGCTCAGAAGCCTTGTGGCGCTGCTTCGGTTGCTTCGGTTGCGTGGCAGGTCCGGTTGCGCCAGTCGAGGCCTCAGATCTCGAGTCCGCTGGGACGGCCTGACACGCTGCCAAAGGCTCTGACATTTGAAGTTGCCAAGGCACTGCTTAGATCTCATTGGCCCAACCGTTCGGAGAGCGGCAGTCCCGAGCTGAGCCACGGGTGTGACGCTGAAACATGTTGAAGATGCTTGTAGGAATGCTTGAGGAATGCCAAGGCTGGCACAAGACATTCGCGCATCTCACAACACAGTGCTTAGATTCTCTTAAATTCGAAATATAATTATATATAAAAAAGTATCGAAACCCCAAGATGTTAATTAATATTGCTATAAATTCTTGACACAAGTCAAAGATATGCACAGAGAAGGCCAAGGAATGGCCCTTGGTAGCATCACCCTCATTGCGCCCCATTGAGGCCTTCGAGCATGACGTCACGCAGGTGCAGGCGCGCCGGTGCCCATGTCACCCATGCCAGGGAGGGCAAGTTCCTTGCAGTTTAGGGTTTAGGGTTCAGGGTTTAGGGCTAGGGTTAGGGTTTAGGGTTTAGGGTTTCAGGGTTCAGGGTTTAGGGTTTAGGGTTTAGGGTTTACAGGACGACCTTCTGCAGAAGTCCGGGCAGATCTCGGAGCTCATGCCGGCGTCCTCAGCAGTTTCCCTTACATGCTCTCTCTCGAGTTGGGCGCCGTTAAGAAGCGATGTCAGTGCAGAGCTTCCCTTAACAAAAAGTGTACACTTGGAGTTCTATAGGGGATTGAAGAAAATATTATCCCAAAAAGTGTAAAGTGTACTCATTCAGCATGGATGTGCTACCGAACCTGGCATGAGGCTCACGGCGAACAAAGTTGAACAGCAGGCGTGGCCACAGAGTTTTGAATTTGACATGAAATCTGCCATTGCCAGTACCCGAACCCCCACCCCTTAAGCCGCCCTTACGCCCCCCCCCCCCCCCCACCCCCCCCCCCCCCCCCCCCCCCCCCTTAAGCCCCCCTTTAAGACCCCCCTTTAAGCCCCCCCCCCTTCCCAACGATGATATTGTGGCAGGTGGCGAATATCGAGAACTTTAGGATCGAGCTGGCAAAGTATGATGCTGAGAGGAAGCCCGGGACCTGAGACCACCTGCAAAACATTGTAACATGGGGGGGGCTTACGAAAAAGTTGGGGCACCCCCAACAGAGATCCCGAAATTGAAGGATCCCCTTGTAACGAGGACCCCAAGAAGGCACCCCAAAACTTCGGAAGCCCTCACATTGGTTCTGGGCGTCGCCCCAACAGCACGAAGGCAATGGCAGGCGACTGCGACCGACTCCCTGAGCTGCATGAAGCAGGACCCCTTGCAGCGGTGGCCTCTTACCCTAAACCCTACACCCTACACCCTACACCCTACACCCTAAACCCTAAACCCTAAACCCTAAACCCTAAACCCTAAACCCTAAACCCTAAACCCTACACCCTAAACCCTAAACCCTAAGCCCTAAACCCAAAACCCTAAACCCTAAGCCCTAAACCTTGTACCCTAAGGCACATGATGACTCTGCATGCGCGTTTTCTGTCGCGAAGTTGGTTCAATGCAACATGACACCCAATACCATCATGGAGACATGTTGAGATGGCGATCTACGTATACAGATAGATGCCTTGTCCAACAGCTCCGGATTCTCGACGCCGGGGGGTTCCCGGGTAAGTGCAATGGCACGAAGCTTCGGTGCTAAGGCTCATGGACCAGTGACTGGGCAGGGGATGGCATCTTTTCGGGATACTTCAAACGCCGTGAATGTGTATATCTTGCAATCCTAGCCATCTCGACTTCACAGGCAGTGCACCCACGATGGCTGCGCCATCTTGAAGGAGGTACGTGGGACTTTCCACTCCAACATGCCATGGGCACTTCCCGCTCGTCTCCGATCTCGTGGGCTCGAGGCCGCTCTCAGTGGCGAGCGGGCCCTCTTTTCTGCCTGGCGCCCTCAGAGGGGCCCGCCCTCCAAGCGAGGCGCTGTGGAGGAGACTCGGCCTGCCCTGATCGAACTATGTCGACTCGGTGTGTGCGCAGAGCTGGGAGACAAGAAGCGGCTTGCCATGTTTCTGGAGAGATGTGGCCTGACCACGTGGGCACCCTTGACGATACTTCTGCCAGAGGATATGTCTAGGATTGGCGAATCTGACAGCAAAACCTTGTGGTTCTTAAAGCATGCTCGGAAGGAGCGGAATGAAGGAGTGTCCGTACACCTGGGGCCCAGAGCTTGCCACAACGCATGGATATCCGAAGAGGATCAAGATGACTACATTGCTCAGTGCGAGGTGCCTCGAGTTCTGCTGGATGAGGCCGGCCGAAAGCTAACATTCCGGATCTACTTGCTTTTGATGTCGCGCGGGCATGAAGCATCTTCCACCATGGCACTGGTCCGCCGGGAGTTCATCTGCCGATCGCATCCTGCACCATACGATGCTGCGGACCCCAACCCCGCGCGGCATGTGCACAGCACGCTTGACACCTTCGAAGGTGTGGAGGGCAGAAGCAGCCGCACGTTTGCTCAAGCTGCGGTGGTGTGGCCAGCGATTCTGAACATGTTGCAGGCGCGTTCGTTTGTGCAGGGACTCGGGGCAACAAGTATGCAGTCATGTTAGCATATGGTCAGAGCAGGTATTGTGCTTGTTCTGGCCAGTCGTGAAGGCTGTTCTGCAACCGTTCCTGGAGAGCTTCGCGGTCGCAAGTGAAGCACGCGAAGCAGGTAGGGTCCACGGCAGGAAATTCCTACGTTGCAGTAGCCCTCTAGATGTTGTGCTGAGAATGGTTCTGAAATATGCGCATTCATTGTTGGAGAGGCGCTCTTCTTTCTGTTAGTATAAGCTTTCAAACCATCACTGGCCTAAATAATGTGGGCGACGCGATTCTGGTACTGGGAGGTGCAGCGTTAAGCTTCGAGATTCTGGGAGCTGATGTTCTGCTGGACACGACTGGGCGCCCGTGGTTGCTAGAGGCCGTGTCGTGTGGTGAAGTTACAAAGGGTAGAGTGGAGTAGTAGCCGAAACTGGTACGGTAGACTCGTTTTGGTGGCCCTCATTACAGTGTTCGTGGTAGGATAGTTCTCCATGCAGCGTGGGTTTGTGATTTTGTTGGGGGCAGGGGGGTGGAGGGGGGGGGTTGGGGTGTTGGGGGGTTGCTAATTCCCCACCCCTGAGTCTTTGTTGATGTGAGGAGGTTTAGCTCTCAGTCTGCTCCGGTGTTTCGGCGAACTTGTCCTGAGAAGGAAATGCAAGATCAGATCATTTGACATTCCCTGCTCCTCATGCCCCTAAGGCATGCTACGTATATCAGACTTCGAGCCAGCGCATGTTTGCGGCCTTCCAAAGGGCGATGCCCTTGCATTGATATCTTCACTTTTACCTAAACCCTAAACCCTAAACCCTGAACCCTGAACCCTGAACCCTAAACCCTAAACCCTAAACCCAGGCCACGTGGGAACATCTGTGCTGCCGAGCGCCAAGCAAGTTGGGTCACGTAGAGCGATGTGCATCTCGAGAGGTGAACCAGGGGCCAGCCTTGCTTCCTCTCCGAGGCCCGGAGGGTTTGGGGTTTAGGGTTTCGGGTTTAGGGTTTAGGGTGGGATAACAGCTTCAGGGTTTAGGGTTTAGGGTTTAGGGTTTAGGGTTTGGGGTTCAGGGTTTAGGGTTTAGGGTTTAGGGTCTGCTGCACACGATGTTGGTTTCCCCTCTGCGACAGGCAACCCAGCAGCAACGGCAGCACGGGAGGCAGTTCTTGACGACCTTCTCAAGGCCTAGCTTAGCGATCCCTCCGAACATCTCCGGACTTTTAGGCCCCTCCTCCTTCCTCCTCCTGACAGTGGGCCAGCAGTTGGGTTGACGATGTCTGAAGGTGCTCTTGGATCCTATGCTTCGATGTGGATGCCTGGAGGAGGCCACGTCGCACCGCCTGCAAGCCGGTACTGCGCGTGCAGCGTTTGGATTGCTTCAGGAAAGAAGTGTAATAGCTTGGCAGATTGCCATGAGTGTTTCCTGAATTTGTTATTCGTAGATTTGATGTGGTGCTGGCTCTGTGAGAGATGCATTTCTCGTCTGCTGTTGCAAATGTTACTTGCGTGTGCAGGCGTGGGAGCAAGCATCCAGCTCTGGCGACTGGGATGTTCTTGCAAGCTGGCAAAGGAATCCTCTAACTGGCCTATGACTTCCCCGACTATTTGGCTGGGCACGCAGGCTCAGAGCCCTGTCGGCCTGAGATTGTTGTCGGCCGTCGCCGTCCTTCAAAAGTGCCGACTCCTGCTTCTTGGCCAAAGTGGTGTGTTTTTGCGGGCGTCGAGCCGCAGTGTGAGTCTGTCATTGACATGTTGAGAGTTGGCTCTCAGGAACAGGCTCCCAGTGCCCAGCTGCTCTGCCATCGAGGTCCCACCTGATTGTGGGGGTCTGAAGCGCGCACTTTCTTGCCCGGGCGCGGCAGCCCACAAGATTGGCTGGCCCTTTTTGCCTTAGCCTCGTTGGATTTGTTCATGGAAAGGCGACCTGATCTTTTGCCTCATCATGGCAGGCTTCTGGTCCCACTGATGCATGGCGATGCGAAGCCAAGCTTGGCATCATTTGTGCCATCGGAATCACGTGAGCGCGAGCGTGTGCCGGCAATGAGTCCGCGATGATGATGGCTCGGGGCTTCATGCTTGCAGTGGCACCAAAAGGGGAAGACTGCGTGGAAAAGAAGCAGAGCGAGATTGCAAACAGCAAGACTCGGTTGGGCGGACCCTGATGAAGTTGTGTCTTGTAGCAGGACCTGGATGTCTTCCGCTACGAGTTGGAGCGCCGGGGGCCAGTTCTACTGAACACTCCGACTCATGCAGCAAGTGCCCGCGTGGTCACACTTGCGCTGCGCGCTGAGGCATGGATGCTTCCGTACAAGGAACGCAGCGCACAGTGGACCGAGTGGTTGGCGAACTAGGCGGGCAGTGTCTGTTGCTTTCGGAGCCAAACCCTAAACCCTGAAACCTGAACCCTAAACCCTGATTCCTAAACCCTGAACCCTAACCCTGAACCCGAGCCCCTGAAAACCCTCGCTGAAACTTCTCTCCTTTGTGCCGAAGCTCCCAGGCCGGGTCCAGGATTTGGGAGACTCGCCGTGTCCCCAGCCACTCCATTGACACCTTGTGGATCTGATACCGAGTGCGGCAACCGTAAACCCCAAACCCTATAAGCCCTATAAACCCTAAACACCCTAAACACCCTAAACACCCTAAACATCCGAAACACCCGAAACACCCTAAACACCCTAAACACCCTAAACACCCTAAACACCCTAAACACCCTAAACACCCTAAACCGCTACAAGGCTTCGGAATGATTTGGAGAAGCGGCTCTCGCAGCAGAGCAAGATGTTGAACGTCTTCAAAACGGACCTGGAGGTGAGCGGTTTAGGGTTTAGGGTTTCGGGTTTAGGGTTCGGAAAGGTCAACGGATGGGAGAAGTTGTACAGGTCTTTGGGTGAGTGAATGCTAGGCAGAACATTTGGGTTGCTTGTGCGCCCGACCCAGCGTGACAGCTTTCGGTGCAGTGTGGCAGGTGAAGCTGGTAAGTCTCGAAAATCGCTACGACAAGCTGAGTGACGACCTGTGGGGTGAAGAGACAGGCACACCGTCTTGTGCCGGGTGCTTCTTCAGTCCTTTTCCTCGTCGGCATAAGAGAAAGCGAAAGCAGCACCTCTCAGAAGGCCGCACACAACTACTCACAACTGATTTAAGTGAAGACAACTTCGGGGCTTACACGCTCTATCGCCATTGAGGGAGCTGCTAGTGGTTAATGGCCAGCTTTGCGTCTTTTGTGTTCCAGCACACCTGACATGCATTGGAGGCCTAGCGAAGGTCATGCACGACCTCTCCCACACAAATGAGGTGGTCGCAACCTCGAAGTGCTTGAACATGCTGTGCATGCCTAATACAGTGAGGGGATCTACATTGTGGACTCGTTTTGACATACCCGGAAGGATAAGGGCCCCATAGATTAACCCCCCCCCCCCCCCCACATGGGCAAATGGCATGGTGCCGAAGTCCCTGTGACTTCCGAAGTTCCTTGCAGGGTGTCTTGAAGACAGTGACGCATGAGGTCACCAGCATGAGCACGGAGTTTGCCTCCATGAAGCACGACAAGGCGAGATGTAAGACGTGATCACCCTCGTGCCATCGCAGAGTTGGGCTTGCAAGGCGAGTTGCTACACCCTAAACCCGAAGCCCTAAACCCTAAACCCTTCAACTTACTCATAGCAGCTGCAACCGCCCTGCCGGTTCAGGCAAGCATTGCCCAGCTGCAGATGGTCCAGGAGGAGGCCCAAGAAGACTGGGTTTAGGGTTTAGGGTTTAGGGTTTAGGGTTTCTGTGCACAGGATGAAGTAGTGACGACGCTCAAGCAGTGTCCCCAGGTAGTTTTGGGGGGAATTTCTGTTGCCCAGAGCAGCTGCGTCCCGGCATCCTTCCCAAGATCACGCCGGCAGCATCTGGCTTGCGTAACCGCTGCTCCAGCAGGTCAACAACTTCACCCTGGAGACCAACAACAACGTGACGGCGTTGCAGCAGACCGTTGATCGGAGAAGCGCTCAGAGTTTACTCAGGTCTGCTGAGTTTACGAATGACAGAACTGAAGCTCAGGATGATGGCGGACATGAAGGCCCATTTTCAAACAGCCACCAACACCGTGGCGGCGCACAATGCTGCGATGCTACAGGAGGCCGGCGCAAGGCAAGATGAAGACGCTGTATGTTGCTGCACTTTCGAGCGTGCGCTCGCACACTGGCGGAGGTGCGAACGGCGTACCAGGAAGAGCCGCCGAGCTCAGAGGGTTGCGAATGCCAGTCTTCGAAGTCAACAGCCTAAATTTCGGGTCTCAGAAGCATGCTCCAGTGGTTGATAGGTAGCTCTTTGGCTCCAACACTCCTAAGTAAGACTGGGATTGGGTCATTTATGGGTTTTCTTCATCGCTTCAAGCTCAAGCTTGCTGGCCATAATGTGGACCGAGGCTGCACGAAGCAGCTCAGGTGCGCAAGAAGGCGGGGAGCAAGGTTCCGGGTTTAGGGTTTAGGGTTTAGGGTTTCGACAGAGGCGACGAAACTGCCATACTTGTTGGCAGGTCGACGAATTCATGCAGTCCGAGCGCAGCATCCCTGGTACATGCAGCAGACCGTGATGACCGTATCCAGCTCGAGCAGGAAGGAAGTAGAAAGGGCTCTCCATAAAGTCGCTGCCGATTGTGTGCATTCAGTTTCTCCCTCCGGTTGATGGTGATGGCTGGTGATGCTTATGTTTTTGTGCGGTTCCTCTCAAAATGTTTCAGAGTTGGCCTGCGCTTGAGACCGAGCTTTGAGACTGGTCCTGCTGTCCTAGGTGAGTATCGCCGAGCCTTGGAGGATAGCATCTGTGTGGCTGTCATGTTTCTTGGGTGTTCAGCATCTCTTCGAGAGCCCCAAGAAGAGCGGAAAGTCTCGACTGGGAAAGGTTGCGGGTCTCTGTAGAGTGGGTTGCGTCATCTGACGCGACCTTGTGCACACTCACGTCTTGCTTTTCGGGAATTGCACTCCTGCCTTTTCCTACATCGCCTTTTCTGGCTCAGCTTCTGCTCCTTCAGCCCGGCGTGGCAACGTGCCGGATTGGTGTCTGCATATCAGCTCCAAAGCAAGGCTCTCTAAAGAGTTTACAACGATTCTGTACGGTGGGCCTCGCTTGCTCTCCTGCCAGGCAAGTCCCAGGCTCAGACGGAGGACTTGGTGCGCCAGGCTTACGTCTGGTGTGTGAGTGAGTGAGTGAGTGAGTGACAGTCTGTCCGTCCGTCTGTCTGTCTGTCTGTGTTTTGCAGGTATGCAAGTCCTTTCGCAACTCGCGTGATTGAGAACACCCTGCACGCACTGCGTTGCGCCGTATGCGTGGCATGCAGGTGACATCAGAGGTCGAAGAGGTAGGCGCGGGCCATGGGAGTGTTTCTATAGCTTTCCATGGGAGGCGACTCTGCCCGGCTTCCTGCGTCCCCAACGCGCAGTCCCATACTTTGGTGCTAAACCTAGGGAAGCTTCGGCGACGAGATCGCAACAGCCAGGAGGTCAGCCGTCACTGTATCAGTCTGCATCATGCCCTGGGACATGCAGAACTCAAAGTCTCACCAGGTCGAGATCAAAGCAGTGGCTAAGCAGCTCTCGACAGTGTTTGAAGCCCAGCTCATTGCTGCTTTAGGGTTTAGGGTTTAGGGTTTAGGGTTTAGGGATCCGGGAGCCAACTGCCCTTGCTTGGCCTGACTCGCCATGCTGGCCCGAGTTTTTGCCCGACCGCAGGCAGGACTCCTCGCAGCACGTTGCACAAAGTCTCGAGCACCTGAGTGCTGTCATCTGGACCATGGTACGGGCCCTGGCATTCAGGCATCTTTTCGTACCGTTGGTGTGCCGGAAGCACCCGCAAACCCCAAGGGACTAGGGGACATTGGCTTCCGGTTTTCGTTTTAGCGGCTTCAGCGCATGAGGTGCAGTGTGAGCGGGCGGCTTCTGCGTCAGCATCTCAGCCACTGAAGCGGCCGCCGGCATGGATATGAAGAGTTCCGCTTTTCTTGACAGAATGCCCAGGTTAGACCTTCAAGACGACCAAGACAGATCAAAGATTGCTCTGATGGGCTACAAGGCCGTGGGACGCCTCGAATGACTTCAACTCTTCAACTCTTCTGCGTTTCACATTCGACCCCAGGATCCTGTACCTTAACCTTCGGTTTTTGCTTGTTGAGAGCATTGGGCAGGAAGAGCAGTCTGGTGAGAGGCCTCGAGGAGGCTTGGTTGAGCGATGCCGTGCGTTTGAAGCTTTGTGCTGTACCTCCGAGCGCCGAGGAAGCAGAACCCGAAGCATCAAGGGTCGGGCTTCTTCGCCGTCGGCAAGCGAGGCTTGCCTGTGTCTAAAACTGTCTCTAAGGCTCAGCTGTAAGAAATGTAAGGCTCGCACGGGATCGAGAGCCTTGCCAGAGGAATGAAGCAAGTTTGCCGGGCAGGCAGATGGTCAAACCATCATAAACGTGGACGAGCGCTGTCTCAGCTGCTGCGGCAAAGCGCAGACGGTTCTTTCAGGCCGCCTTTTTGATTTTCTGTCTTGTGCAGGCCCTGTGAGAAAAGAGCTGGTGCTTGGGAGGTTTCAAGATGGCATGCTTGCAGTACTCTCCAGCTCCAGTTGTGTTCTCGCAGGGGGCCCAGAACATTCTTTGGCACCAGTTTTTGCTCGACAGTGATGCAGCTGCGACTTCATTTTGCGCACATGATTTGACCAGTCCCAGGCGAAAAACCTACAACAGGTCTGACTTGTTGGGCCTTCGTGAGAAGCTATTGTCACAGGCCAGAGATATGACTGTGAGATGGAGACAAGTCAGACGACAGCCTTTTGAGTGGGCAGCGGAGAGCGTGGTGCGCGCATGCACGTGGCCCCAGGTACACGAGGCGCTGCAACATGGGCCCGTGGAGTTCGACAAGGCTGAAATCTTCGGAGCAACGACCAACACCACTATCTCCTCAGGCCAGCAGTCCCAGCTTCGTTTAGGGTTCAGGGTTCAGGGTTCAGGGTTTAGGGTTTCGGGTTTAGGGTTTAGGGTTTCGGGTTTAGGGTTTAGGGGCTTTTTTAGAGAAGCTTGTACTTGATTCCCTGCTTGAGGCCCCCCCTCTCACCCAAAAGCACCACTGCCGAAACCCTCTCAAACCCTAACGTGCTACGACGAGCAAGTGATCCACAATCAGGAACCTGTACAATAATAATAATAATAAGAGTAATAATCATAGCAATCATAATCATAATCATAATAGTAATAGTAAGAATAATCATAAGAAAATAACAATAACCATGATAATCATAATAAGGCCGCCTCTTGGGCCGAGCCACCGCTTCTGAAAGCCTTGTTTGCTCTGGGCGGCCGCATTGATTTACGCAGGTTGAAGGTCACCTTACCTCCACAGTGCCCCAGGCGCAATCGTCGACTCCCTCACAGGCAGGAGCCTTGGGCAGGGAAGATGCAGTTGCTCAGGACGTGTCCGGACAACCGAGCGAACTGTGGGAGGGGCAGTGCATAGATCACCAAGGTCAGGATGGTCGCCTGAGCAAAGGCAATGCAAAGGGTGTAGTTTGAGACCCGGCTGGGAGCTTCAAGCTGTAGCTTGTAGCCTTGTAGCTGCTACTGGCAGAAACAGTTCCGATTTTCGCGCTGCAAGAAGCGTTGAAGCCGAGCTGTGCGCAGGCTCTCGCTCCAGCCCGCTCTCCATGCCCCCGATTCAGTCGGCGTGGGAGCTCTCAGGGAAGTTCAGCCAAGAGATACGGGTTGCGCCTTGCGACTTCGGTGCTGGCTGAGGCGGTCAACGCCCATTCGTGCGGCGTGAGACAGCGAATGTACAGTTGTACAGCAATCGCTCGAACCCCGTTTTCCGATCAGGGGCCAAGCTTGTCCCGCCTGTGCATAATCCGTGCACTCGCGCAAACAACGTAAACGAACGCCAGCCTTCCACTCAAGCAGCCGACTTATACGAGTTGATGCCGAAGCAGCAGTACCCAAACGAAGAGCCTGTACGGATGGGCTTTTGCGATCTGCTTGAGTCGAAGGCTGATGCCATCTCACACCAAAGAACGCCACAAGTGTGTCGCCACCCTGAAAAGGGCCTGTCCAAAATTCCAGCATGGGTTTGGGTAGAGAAATTTTGGACAGGCCCTACCTGCGTGGGCAGAAAGCTGATGCCCAGAGGAGTAGCGTGATGTGGTTTGTGTGACAAAGGAGAGCAACAAATGTGCCAATTCTCTTTGTTCAGGCTGCGTTCCGTTTTGTTGCTCATTTGGAACGCAGTGAGCACCCAAACCCTAAACCCCTAAACTAAAATCAATATGATTCATATCAGCCGGGATGGCAGCTCTCCAAATCTTGAAGTTGGCCATTTCCTGAAGGCAGTGAGCGTTACACTCCACAGAGAGTCCGAGCCTCCAAGGCCAAATACCAGCCAGAACATTATGAAAGGTTTAGGGTTTAGGGTTTAGGGCTTTAGGGTTTAGGGTTTAGGGTTTGGGGTTTGGGGTTTGGGGTTTAGGGATTGGAGCCTGGCATGAACACGAAAGACCAAGCAGCAAGGACATGCAGTAATCGGGCAACGAGAGCATCAGGCACCGCAACACGGATTCAATCCAAACTGTGGCGGGGTGTGACAAGGAGGACTTCTTGATGCAACACAAAGCAACCCCAGACCTGAGTAAACCCTAAACCCTAAACCCTAAACCCTAAAGCCTAAAGCCTAAAGCCTAAAGCCTAAAGCCTAAAGCCTAAAGCCTAAAGCCTACAGCCTAAAGCCTAAAGCCTAAAGCCTAAAGCCTAAACCCTAAACCCCAAACCCAAAACCCTAAACCCTACCCCGCAAATGATGGCGTCATCATTGGTGCAAGTTGAGCCGCGCGCATGCACCAGCACCTTGGCCAGCCATGGACAAGGACATTGTAGATATTTTTCAGCAGGGCAGGTTTAGGGTCCAGGGTTTAGGGTTTAGGGCTTAGGGTTTAGGGCTTAGGGTTTAGGGTTTAGGGTTTAGGGTACTGCCCTTTGGAGCCAAGGCAAGGCAGAAGACCCGCGCTTGGCTGCGTGCTTCGGTGCGTGCCACGGAGGCGCGCAGCTGTGGCTTGCTAACCACAAAGTGGCGAGGTTGATTGCTTTGACCTTTCGTGAGCCCCCACCGTGCGCACGCTTGCAACTTTCAGACTTTTAGTGTCGATCCAGATCATGTGCAGGAGCAGCCATGTCTTCGTGCACTCCGAGTTGCACGTTTGTGCACCGCCGGAGGCACGAGACCCAAGGTTTCACCTATCACAAGTTAAAGTAGGCAACGCAGTCATGGTGTTATCTGGCCTAGCGTTCTGGACCATTGTTTTGAGCCAATTTTTTGCAGCGGCCCTGGCAGGCTTGGTCTTCGCTCGTCTTGCAGAGGCCGGGGCGTGATGCTGGGGAATGTGCAGCACTCGACGCACTACACGCCGAACGTCCCTAAAACCCTTAGTGAACCCCCCTTGAAACTTCTGAAGTTCAGCCCAGAGGCTGCAAACGATCCCCACGTCAGCGCTGGTGGAGAGCAAGCCCCTCAGTCACATCGCAGTCCCCCCAGGTCGTGAGTAGGGCCTCGTGGCCCTTAAGTTACCTTCGGGGTGCTATCTTTGGCATACTTTGGCCCATCAGCAAGCCACGCATCCGGCAAAGTTCATGTGAACTTCCAGGCTGTGACGAGCTGTCCCGGGCGAGATGCAACGACTTCGGCATCTTCCGTGCAATCGGTGACGAGCGCCTGCGTCCGCGGCGAGACGGCTTTTTTGCTTAGGAAAGTTTACAGTCTAAAGCCGCTTGCCGGACGATGCTGGAAGGTGCTCATACAGACTGCGTCGGGCCGGCCGCTGCTCAAGCCTATGTCTGAGCTGGGATGAGGTTGAACTCTTGGCACCAATAGCTCATACCATACGTTTGTTTTCGTGGTTGCTTGAGGGCCTTATTGATGACCAAGTTGTTGGAATGCATCTGTTCAGCACAGCTGCTTCCAAGAACTCCATGTCCTGGCTGAGGTGTGCGACCAACCTATGCATCCCCGACAGTGCGCAGCCTGTACAAGCTTCAACAGTATCTTCCGGTATTCTGACTGTCTCTGTTCATGCGGAAGGCAAATCGAGCTCATCATATGTAGGCGACCAAGCGCTCCCACAACCCACCAAGCCAAGCGTTGCTCTTGAGGCGACCGAGCTGGTTTCGCTTTTGCGTTCCTTTGCTGGAGCCACGTGCCGTGCCGGGCCCTGTCTCGTACTTCATGTTGTGAACGCCCCTCCACAGCGACTCTTCGTGACACCCCCCCCCGCCTGGCAAATCGCTCGTCCAGCAAGGCCACCGGAAGATATTGCAAACCGCTGAGTCCCTTGGCGGCAGGTGAAACGATGCCGATCTTGTAGTCTCAGTCCTCTTCACAGCAATGCCGGGAACCTGGCCTGCAGGTCGGAAAGCTCATGGCTGCCGCTCCTACGATCTGCAGATCTTCTTCGGCTTCTTGTCGCTTGCGGCCAGTCCGGAAGCCAAGTTAGTCTAGTGCTATCTAGAAATCTAACGGGTAGTGTGGAACGAACTAGCAGTGGTTGCAGTGAGAGGCAAGCTGGTACTCACGGACTCCAGGACAGTAGCCCGTGTCGGAAATCTCTAGGAGCTGAAGTCTTGGCAGCCGTTTGCTAAGGAATTCGGGCTCACTTTCAGCAAAGCTCTAACTCGGAATGATGCGTTGCAGAAGATGACATGTCTAGATTTGTGGGAAAGGCTCCAACTTTTTGTACGCCCCATGTAAGGGCCTCCACCTGGCATATATCTCGCCACCCCTGGAAATCTCCCAAATACATGGGTGGAAGCTTCAGGCAGCAGCCTAGACACGACGTCCGTGAAAGGTGGACTGCTGTTGCATTGTGTTGGCTCAGGATGCCAGTTTCACCCTTTAAGAAGCCAACCATCGCCAAGTCATCGATGCAGCTTGAGAAGCAATTTTGTGCGAGGAAGGGTTGCGTAGGGAAAGGTGCGTTCTAGGGCAGCGTCGTAGCGTCGGGTCATGCATGTCGCAGCATGTCGCCGTCTTCTTTGAGTCGGCAGAGGCCTTTCGCGTCACGGGGGCTGCTTCAGAGGATCTTTGGGGTGCGGTTGTTGTGACATGTTGTGACGATGTCAGCATATTCTGTGCATATTCCTGTCTGGGTTCTTTGCTCTTTGGCTCATATTGTGAATTTCTGCTGTGGAAGCTCAAGATTGGGAGGCTTCAGCGGGCATTCGCAAGAAAGGCACTGGCACTAGATTTCTGATGGCATGTTCACTTGCAAGATCGGACAGCGCCACGTTGCCTTAGTTGACGTTCAGCGCACCAGCATGCGAGACGGACGGTTCCTGAGCAGGTGGAAAGAAGCGGAAGACAAAGCACCGCAACTTGCCGCAACAACTTGGGGCCACGATGCTTCTTGATGACGTGACCTGTGCATTCCGTAGGCAGCACCTGCTTGTCTCTGCGCTCCCTGCCTACGCTCGGTGCAAGTGGACGGGGCAGCCCTAAGGAGGAACCCAGGCCATCGCCCTCTTGCTTTTTGAAACAAAGCTGTTCGGGAAGGGTCCCTGTTCTGCAGGCTTACCACTGGTGTCCCGCTACTGGTCTCCCAAGTCCCAGGACTCAGGGGATTTGCTGACAAGGATTGGGGTCCGGGTACGGTATCGCGGGCAGCCTGCCTTTGCAGCACTTGCGGAGGAGTTTTGACTCGGGGTGTGGCTCGCTACGGGGGCTGACAGCAGCTGTAGACCAGCGAATTCGCCCAGTTTTATAGAGCAAGCCGAAGGGTTTGGGAGCACTTCAGCCTATAAGACATGAGCGTCCCTCTTGTGTCTGTCTTCCTGGCAATCACACATAGCCGTTGCAACACGGATATCGATAAGATGTCCAAGTTTAGGGCCTTTGGTGCGATGACCATCGTGTGATCATCGGGAAGCTCTCAGGACGAGCCACAACAAGCGGAAGCGAGGTGCATCGAAACCACCGCCGCTGTGCCCGGAGCTCTCCAGCAGGGGGTCGTGCCATGATGTGCCATGTGTTTGTCACACCGCGCCGGTTCAAGGTGCTGAAGCTTGACCCCATCTCGAACCCTGTCCCAGCAGCTCGGATGCACGACCTCCTCGATTGAGAGGGGGGCCGAGGGAGAGAGAGGGAGAGAGAGAGTGAGAGAGCCATCAGCACGGGGTCTGCACAAAAGAAAGAAAGATCTTAGACATGCACTTTCAAGAGGCTTCTTCGATAGGAGGGCAGTCAGCAACATAGAGGGAGGGTGGAATGCGATATGCATTGAGGGAGGGCCATGTCAGACTCCTTCACTCCCATAGTATTGCAGGCAAGAGGTTTTCTCACCAGACCTACTTCAGCTGTGCTGGTGACAAGAGTCACCCCACCCCGACCCCTGTTCCCGAGGCCCCCTGAGAGGAAGAAGGAGAAGACGAGAGAGATACAACGAGTCAGCAACAGCGAAATCGAGCGAAGCTCTGCAGAAGAGCAATGAAGGGAGACACATGGAGACACCATGAACAGGGTGTGAACATTGAACAGGGACCTGCCTTTGACCCAGAGTTGTTGAGGACACAGTGGGGCAGCTCCCGCGCCTCCGTGTGGCCATCTTCAACGTTTTTAGCCGCGTCCTTCCACACCCCGCCGCGAGCTGTCCACAGCCTTAGAAGTCATGAATGCCATGCCTCGAGTAAGGCAAGAGTAGAGTCTGATGCGGTGATGCATCTTGCCATGTAGTTGCAAGCTCAGGTTGTAAAGTTGCGTTGACGAACACGCCATGGTTCTTCAGCAAGGCTCGCCAAGTCACAAGCCAAGCGAATCTCTTCAGCGCGAACTCCCTGCGGACTGGTCCGTCTCAAGGGATGGCAGCGTGTGCAGGCAGTTTCGCGTTTTCTATGCACTTCCACAGCTCGGATGCACAATGGGCAGTGGCTGAGCCTCGTCCCTAGCAAAACACCATAGGGTCCCCAAGCTGCTGTTGGCAGATACTTCATCAGAAGCTCCGGCTGTGTCAGTGATCCAGTTGACCCAGGCATGTTGGCCCCTGTGCGGGTTGAGCTGCTGCAGGCTACACCTCAGAGCTGGAGAGTGAAAGTTAGGGTTTGGGGATGTTTGGGGTTTAGGGTGTAGGGTTGAGGGTTTAGGGTTTAGGGTTTCGGGTAAGTCCCATAGTGTAGTTGGAATCGCGGCATGTGCGAGGGTCTCTCTCCTAGTAGCTCGACTCGGCCCACGTGCGAGCGTCTCTGCGCGCTCTTTGTGCTCTCTTGAAGGTGGAGGATATCTGGGAAGGACGACTGCGTAGGACACCAGGGCCTTTCAGCCCGGGCCTCAGCTTTTTGAGTTTGCGGGGCCCAGCCGCGTCTGCATTGAACAAATCCAGCTTCTCAATGTTGTCATGCGTAGCTGATCTCACTTATGTCTGCTGCTCTTTTTCCCACTCTTTCCACCAGCTCATGCCAGGCTCCGGGTTCGATGTTCTCCTGGTGCCAGGCGGTTCCGCCAAGGCTGCCCGGCTTCAGCAAAATGTGTGAGTTCTGCTTGCCAAGACAGGACAGTCCCTGACGATTCTCTTGAGGCAGACTGGCGAACTCTGGGACCTGAGGGTTGTGAGGCAATACGGCGCTTCGTACGAAGTGGATTCTTTGGCTTCAAGTGATGCGATGTGCTAGTCCGAAGACCATATATGCTGCAACGAAGTTCGCTCTCCGATTGTGCCGTCTCCAAGGCGGCGGCTACTGCGGCGTGTGCGCTGGTGCCTTTCTTGCTCATCGGCTCAGGCAGGAGAGAGAGTCTTTTTGCGGCGACTGCAGGGGAGGGCTCCCCGAACCGTCTTGGGGTGCCATTTGTAGCAGCTGCTGGGGGCTTCGAGCACGGACTGGGCATCTTGTAAGTCGGGCAGTTCGGGGAAGGCCATTTTGTCTCTGTGTGTGTGTGTATGTGAGTGAAGGGAAGGTTGGGTTGTGTGGTTGTGCCCAAACTTAGTCTCATGCCTTGCTGCGGAAGATCTTGACAAGCGGAGACCTTTCAACACGCAGCTCGGAATGCCAACGGGCTTGGGGTGGCGTGCGCGCGGGGAGCGGGGAGGGATTCCCAGTCTCAAGACCCCTAAAAGGAGGTTTCAGGAGAGGAGAGGCTCCACTGTGCCAGCATGACTAAGGAAAGTTAAGCAGAGATTCACGATAGCAACAGAAACATGAATAGCCTGATACAGCCTGCCGACGTTTTTGGCGGTCACCGTGTCGAGGCTTTCACCGAGAGCATCATGAACTCAACATACACGAAATGTTAAGAAATGTTAAGAGTCTCCGCAAGCTCCAAAAAAAGTCCAGCCAGCGTGGACGTTGTTGCAGGTAGCCCCGCAGAGCAGTCAATTGTGAAGGAGTGAGACGGAAGGATAGCTCACCGGCCTGAAAACGAGAGGGACAGAAGAGGGGGGTCCCAGTGGAAGCGACCGGAAGGGCAAGAACCGGCGGCAAACCATGTTGCTTGTGGTCGCTGCAGCCAGCCACGTTGTGGGCGTTTCTGCGTGAGGCTGTTGGATGTCATGAAGAAGAGCAGGCGGCACCAGCTTGCGCTGCATTCGCAAATCCGTCTTGGACCTTGGCTCGGTTCTGTCTATCCCGTCCCTGGAGCGGGAGCCCACAGGACGCAGCAGCCGCCGGCACAAGGGGACAGAGACGAGCCGAGTGACGGTGAGTCGGGTTCCTTTGCTGCACTTTCGTCTGCGGTCTCGGATCACTTCGGGCACATGTCAAGTGCATTGATGCAGGTGACGAGTTCGATGAGCCACAAGAAGCTCCAAAAGCAAAGGCCGAGGGGTGGTGTCGGACTCACGAGATAACTCGGCCCTGTCATCGGCTGTGATGAATTGCCAGGCGAGCCGTGATCCGTTTCTGGTAAATGTGCGGTTTACCAAGAGAGGCAAGAAGCTGCTGTGGCTTCGTGTCATTTAGCAGGCTTGTTGTGGTGCTTAGTGAGTGTCAACAAGCGCCGCTGAAACTGAATTCCTGCCTCCGAAGCAAGATGATGGAAAGTTTAGGGTTTAGGGTTTAGGGTTGTGTATTCACGCTGGTAACCTGGAACACAGACGTGGTCCTCTTACATTCCGAGGTCTGGGGATAGAACAGCTCATAAGAAGCCTAAGTACCCCTCTTGTCAGAAGAACGGGCCTTTCCTAGCAGACAGCAGTTCAAAAGCTACGAAGTAACAAGTAGTAGATACATGTTTGTTCTACTCCTATAACATTACTGATGATGCTGAACATTCTGCCTCCTTGCAACGCGGGTCTTGACATTATAACCTCTGTCATGCAGTATATATAGAGAGCGCAAACGCCCATGCCGCCGTGAAGGGTCGAAAAGATGTTTTAACCAACAAGTGACGGAGGTTTTTTCGAGAAGGTCAAAACGAGCTTATCCGGGCCAAAATGCTCTGTGTTGAGGAAACAACAGAGAAAAACAAACACAACAAGTAATAACCCTCCCTGAACTAGCCCCATTTTCGTGCATCATAGCATAAGACACCGGGGTTTTGATTGTTCAGGGACCGCGACTTTCAGTGCATTTGCTGAGGTGGACGGAAGGTGCAGGGCCTGCAAGTGGTGAAGACGAACTGCGCAACGGGTTTGTGCGTATCTTGCAACAAAGGCACTTCCAAGTCCACAGTATGGCTACGTACGAGGTGCGTGAGCATTCAGAGACTGCCAGTGCCAAGCAAGGTATGCGCTATCACAACGGGCCCTTGCTGGGAGTACCAAAGGCGACGCAGCATGTCAAAGCGGCAACTGGGTTTCCACTGTGCCAAGGGGTGCTACAGTAAACACAAAGCCCCAAACTGCCCGACCTTTGGGCTTGAACTCGGAACCTCAAGGAATCGGAGCTGCTACCCGTGCCGCAACGGAGGAAGTCGTAGTCGTAGTCATGAGGTCACTCGTAGTCGTTGTAGTCGTAGGTCCCTACCATGTTCTAACCTGAACGGAAGCCGTTGCTAAACGTAGGAGTAGGAGTAGGAGTAGGAGTAGGAGTAGGAGTAGGATAGGAGTAGGAGTAGGAGTAGGAGTAGGAGTAGGAGTAGAAGTAGGAGTAGGAGGAGTAGGAGTAGGAGTAGGAGTAGGAGTAGGAGTAGGAGTAGGAGTAGGAGTAGGAGTAGGAGTAGGAGTAGGAGTAGGAGTAGTAGTAGTAGTAGTAGTAGTAGTAGTAGTAGTAGTAGCAGTAGCAGTAGCAGTAGCAGTCGTAGTAGCAGTCGTAGTAGAAGTAGTAGTAGTAGTAGTAGTAGTAGTAGTAGTAGTCGTAGTCGTAGTCGTAGTAGAAGTAGTAGTAGTAGTAGCAGTAGTAGTAGTAGTAGTAGTAGTAGTAGTAGTAGTAGTTGTAGTCGTAGTCGTAGTAGTAGTAGTAGTAGTAGTAGTCGTAGTAGTAGTAGTAGTAGTAGTAGTAGTAGTAGTAGTAGTACTAGTACTAGCAGTAGTAGTAGTAGTAGTAGTAGTAGTAGTAGTAGTAGTAGTAGTAGTAGTAGTAGTAGTAGTAGTAGTAGTAGTAGTAGAGTAGTAGTAGTAGTAGTAGTAGTAGTAGTAGTAGTAGTAGTAGTAGTAGTAGTAGTAGTAGTAGTAGTAGCAGTAGCAGTAGCAGTAGCAGTAGTAGCAGCAGTAGTAGTAGTAGTAGTAGTAGTAGTAGTAGCAGCAGCAGCAGCAGTAGCAGTAGCAGTAGCAGTAGCAGTAGCAGTAGCAGGAGCAGTAGTAGTAGCAGTAGTAGTAGTAGTAGTAGTAGTAGTAGTAGTAGTAGTAGTAGTAGTCGAAATAAGAACAGTAGCAATAACAATAGGGTCGCAAACAGTACCATTGGCAGCCCGAGCAGCAAGAAAAAGCAGCAGTAGAGCTGTATGACGCAGAGTTGCAGTTTGCTCCTTCTCCTTCGGGCTGAAAGGCTTTAGTCAGACTTAGGGTTTTATGTTTAGGGTGTTTGGGGTTAAGGTTTAAGGTAGTTTGAAGTTTAAAGGGCTTTTAGGCTTTGGGTTTAGGGTGCCAGGGCCTTTAGGGCCTGTAGTTTTTAAGGGTTTTGGGTTTAGAGCTTTTTTGGGTTTAGGGTGAAGGGTTGGCTGCCATAAGATCTTACATCTGCAGCACTGATGCGAGAAGGTCCTCGATTTGTTTTCTTTTCACGAAAACTTAATTTTGCACTGCACTTTTTGCGAGGGGGTCGTCGATTTAGAAGTGCCGCCTTGGAGTTACATCAAGTATCTGGCCGCCTTGTTTTGGAGGCGTCTCCAGCAGAAGCACTATGCAGCATGACGACAAGTGAGGAAGCACCGGCTACGGCTCCGCAGTCTCTGATTCCTGGCTGAACCGATTTCCCGTGGTATTGTGATAACCTCATGTTCTCGGTTCCTCTGACCTATGTTCGTTTTGAGGAATGGATGTGCGGGAGTGGTGTTGATCTCGGACGCTGATGGTCGCTCTGGAAACATGCGAAGTTGAAAATCTTCGGAGCAGCATGCAGCCAAGCCCCGAGGTCATGCAAAACTATGGCGGTGGCCGCGTTGTAGCGATTTCACCGCACCCGGAGTCAACGCCACTAGCCTGAGGTCATCAGGGGTATTCAGGGGTTCACTCCCGGTTCAATGAACAGGGGGGAGTCTTGAACATATTTGATTATTTTTAATGCCCTTAATCCCCATACAATCCTTGAATGCTTAATTCAGTAGGGCGCTCAAACCTACCCCAGTGAAACGAAGTGCAAGGAACAGATTGCGTGTGTGCACTTTTTCCTCTTGTTGTGAACTGAGCCGCTGTATGCATAAGTGGCTCGCAGCATGTCAAATGATGTTTATCTGCTCTGCACACTAGTAAATGCTGACAATGCACGCGCAAGCTCTGCTCGCTACATTCGCCCCATATTATGTTCAGCCTTAGAACAGCCGTAGCCTGAACGTGGTGAGTCAGAGCATGCATGCGTGTTGATTGCGGCGATTGATGGGAGGGCTCACAACCAGTTTATAGTGATATTGAGGCCTTTGTGCGCCACACTTGTGTATATTGTATCCAGAAGACAATCGTCACGACAGTTCATGGTAGAGCTAGATCCCCCGAGATCAAAGTGCAGCAACGAGCATCCAACAGAGAGCGAAGCCGATTTGACCGGCGGCTGTGATCGGATGTGCTCATATATGTGCGTGTGTGTGTGTGTGTGTGTGTGCGCTGAGACAAGTATTCAGGACTGCTTGCCATTTCTAGTGCAAATGCAGCAGGAGGGATGATCCAAGTCATTTGAGAGACAAGGGCATTCCAAAAATTGGAGTACCCCGAGTATACCCCCAAAAACTCTAATCCTTACTATAGGAACCCCCAAAAAGGGTACCCCTCTATATTTTCGGAAACTATAATCCTCATTATGGGAACCCCAAAAAAGGGTACCCCTATTTTCGGAAACCCCCACAAGGCAAGATGGCCTTCTGCTGCCAGAACCTGGCAAGGAGAGCCTGCGACGCGCGCAGAGCTCAGCGACAGTCGCACACATTCTACTCAGACAATAACAATAAATAATGATAATAATAGTAATAAGAATAATATGTAAATAAAATATAGATAGATAAATAAGTATATATATATGTACATGTATCTTGTGGCTGTGTTGCTCAACGCATCAGGCGGGACGACCCTAGAAGCGTGGCGCGAAAGTGTGTGGGGGGTGCTGTGAGTTGCCTGTCAAATTGTAAAACTCCTCCACTCGTAGATTGAGGATCCTCTCAGACGATGTCAGATATGCACTGAACCCATGTGGGGGTTTGCTAAAATCAGGGACCCCGAATATAGTCCCGGACCCCAATAAGGTACCAATCAATTTCGGAAACCCCCAACCCTAAACCCCAAATCCCAAACCCCAAACCCCAAACCCTAAACTCTAAACCCTAAACATCCCTAAACCCTAAACCCATATGTCTGAGCCTTTCGGAGCCGCAGAGGTGCTGCAGCGAGCGGTGCTTCTCGCAGCCTCAGGGCCTGCTGCACACAGCCGCATGGCTCAAGTTATTTCAGGGATCTCAGGACCTAACGTTTAGGGTTTAGGGTTTAGGGTTTAGGGTTTAGGGTTTAGGCTTTAGGGTTTAGGGTTTAGGGTTAGGGCTTGCGTTGTATCATGATATGCCTTATCCTTATCATACCCAATGTGTGAGTGTATGCACTCTGTACAACGTTTTTGCGCCCATCTTGAGAGCGGTCTGTCCGGTCTGTCCTGTCTCGGAGCATCCAAGGTTGGCTGGAGGCTGAAGTGCATATTCCGGCGAAGCGCTAAGCCGTCGTTTTTGGACCGAACCCTAAACCCTAAACCCTAAACCCTATACTCCCAAACCCCCAAGCCCCCAAACCCTTAACCTGTAGAAGATGAGCAATGAAAGGGGTTGGCCATCGCAAGCACGCCACCTTCGGCGGGTGCCGACTTCGAACCCGTGGTCTAACCATGTGGGGGGGGTTTCCGAAGACGTGGGTGGGGGTGGGGGGGGGGGTGGGGGTGAGGGGGGAACCCCTGTTAAACCCCAAATAGAATTCGAATCCCCTTAAAGGAACCCCCCAAAAAAGGGCACCCCCCCCCATTTTCGGAAACCCCCATGTCGAGCTTGTACTATACATCAAAGCTGCGAGGCTCGTGATTGAGGAGGTACAAATGTACTCCTCGATGACGTGCAGCGTGGCACTTTTCAACACCAGCTTCGGATGCGATCTTCCTCGCCCCAAGGGCATCGGATTTAAGTCCTCCGCGAAGTAACGCATCTTCAGCCGATTTTCAAGAAACCCTGAGGGGCAGGCACTTGCAATTAGGCTTCAAATTGTGTTCAGCATTCTTCCGAACGCTGTTGCGTGATGGAAAATTATTGTGCTGCTCCCAGGGAGTCCCCTGGTCGATGGCTCCCTGTGCTGCACAGTCACACGGCGGGGCCACCGGCGTCAGCAATGGCAGAAGCCCATCACCGTACCTGCCTTTGCTAATATGTGATGAATGTGGAGTTCTTCATGTTTGGACAGCACCGCGAAGTCATGTGATCATCAGAATTGCCGCCTTAGCGCAGTGAAGCATCGCGCAAAATATCACGTCTACCCGCTTGGAAACTTCTCTGTGGTCCTGCGGTCGCTTGGAAGAAAGAGTCTTTTCGAGAGCTTTTAAGAGCATGGTTGTAGGCGGCAGTCACATCCGGCGCTGCTTGAGGTTGCGAGCTGCTCACGCTGCTGCGCACAAAGCCATTGAAATCCTCATTGCAAGGCAGTCCGGAAACCCGACTGACCTGGGCTTCTGAGTACACCAGACTTGCAGCAGGCGCTACTTCCTGGTGTGCTCCTCGCTGGAGTTGCTGCAAACCGTCGGCAGCCCACAGCAGTAGCTGCTAGCTAGTAGCTGCTTCTGCGTCTTCACATCTTCATGGCAACGCGCTTCATGTGTAAACCCCCCGGTGTATGAGTTTATGCGTTTGTCAAGGTCCATGCCGCTGTTCGCTTATTGCTGCTGCCTCATGCGGACAGCAGGCTGCAAAGCACCGCCAAGAATTGGAGATCAGTGCAAAGCATTGCAAAGCATTGCCAAGCTTTGCCAAGCTTTGCAAAGCATTGCAACGCCTGGTGATGCTCAAAGCTCCTAGCATGCCTAAAGGCTTTCCCAACTGCCACACCGTCTGCAATTCAGTTCACACCATGCCGTAATACGCCTTGAATGCCAGCTTCTGGTGCGACGTCTTCTCTCCGTGCACCGCACGGGCGCTGACAGCGTTTCATGGCCGGGACTTGGTGCGCCCTCTTGCCGAGTCGAGTAGGGCTGATCGTGTCACGCTGCTGGTGGTCATGGCGAAGATGACCTTTGAGAGAGAGAGAGAGAGAGAGAGAGAGAGTGAGAGTGAGAGGGAGGGAGAGGGCTGTGGAGGAGCAGAAGAAGAGGAAGAAGAGAGAGAGAGCTCGATTCTTCCCGAGAGGTCGCTACCCTTGCTGCCTGTGTGGCGCTCCAGCGGTTTGGAGCTGCCCAGCGCATTGCTGCTGCACTGAGCCGGGTGGCTCAGTGAAAATTTGAGGGTGCAGGCAATCTTGGTTCAAGGCCTGCAAGTGGCATACGACTTACGGAATCGGGGGCATCACAACTGTGGCTTGATTTGGGGCGTAAATGGCCAGAGCTGGCCTGATATTTTACATGTTAGCTCATGCAACGGATCCAAGGCGTGGCGCAGATCACCACGAAGAGGGACGTTTGCGTGTGGGCTGGCGGCCTGGCAGTTTTGGCAGGCTGAACTGGGCGGACAGCTCCGTCTCTCAAAGTAGGCCGACATGCTTAGTCGGGCTGCTCACCTCAGTGGAGCTCTGAGTAAGCCGAAGCTGCGAGCATGTGCTCATGTACCTTTCCCGACTCCCTGGAAGTCTTAGATCGCAAGCGATTCGCACAAGGGGAACTGCTCACAAGAACCCGGAGCAGGCTTTCGGCAACTCTCGGGCCGGCTTCTTGCAGATGCCGCGGACACATTCAGCGAGGCCGTGATGAGTAGTGAGTTAGCATGAGTCGTGCCACACGATTAGCGCAAGAAGACTTCAACAAGTGATCTCTTCTTGTCGCCTCGTTCGTACGGGTCCATCTCCGCACGGCCAGGCCTTCATGGCTTTCGTGGACAGCCTTCGTCCTACACTTGAGTTGGCAGGTGTTTGGTGTTCGCCGGCATGTTAGGACTCAAGCGGTGCATCAGAGGGAATGGGGTTCTCCAAGCGTGCTTCATGCCATGTCGCTATGCGACTGTAGATTTCAATTGTGCTACGCCTGGGTGTCATGACATTTTCTGTTAGAGCCATTGAACACTCTTGCGTTGTTGCATTATGACGGGATTATTCTACTTGCTACATCACTGCATCATGTAGCATTGTATGATTGTACTATTGTTTGATTGTATGAATAGTAGTATCATAGTATTATTACTGCATTATCGTATTCTTGCATTCTGGTATTGTTGTATTATTGTATTCTGGGGTGGTGATGTTATTCTTCTATCCTAGCTGTGCAACCCAACAGCCAGCAAGAAACGGATGGTCAAGGACCAATGTCGAAAATTCCCGGCGAGGCTGCGTAAGATCCGTTCCGTTCCAGCGGGGGTCCCGTTCGGTGCTACCCGTTCTGTTCCGGTTTGGGCTCCGGAGTTTCAACTCTTCGGCTGTTGGGAATTATCTCGTGCGCACTTTGCTTTTATGGGCCTTGGTGCCTCTCAGCTTTTCTCGTGCTAACCTTTGGCCGATAGGTTCCTCGCACAGGATCTTGTAGTGTTTCGCCTGCAGCGCACGCCACGATCTCTGGAGTCCCGAGAGTGACTTCAGAACTTCAGGCGACGTCTGACTTTGGGTAGATGTTCTTGCTTTCAGTCGTATGTTGCAGATAGCTGAGCCCCCGGCCTCTTTTGCTCCTTGTCCGTCTGCCTTTCGGTGAAGACCGAGGCCTTGAAGAGTCTGAGACGCGTCAGCTCTTGACCTTCGGCCTCGCAGCAGCCCTGCAAGGCCATTCCTTTTCGTCCTCCGCACTCATGGCGATGCGGCACTGCCATGACATCATGCACTGCCCTCTCTTGAGGAGTGCACATGGACTGCCCAAGACTGGGTGAGCTGATGCTGGCGAGCCAGGCCGGCCCAGGTTTCAGGAGCTCTTCAAGGTGCACTTTCTCTGAGCCACGGCCCCCATAAACCCTAAGTGTCTCGGAGGTGAAACGTTGCGGCTCAGCCAGGCAGACCAAGTCAAGGCTCGCGTATATGGGTCCTTGGAGCACTGGCACCGGGTGACGGCGACAGGATGCACGAGGAGGTATTGCAGAGCCTGCTCATCGCGCGGCCCTTGGATGTCTGGCATGGCAAGATGGGGTTTGGGAAAACCTGGGGCACCCAAAATCGAACCCCCAAGTAGTAGGATCCCCTTATGGTAAGGACCCCAATAAGGTACCCCTAATATCGTAAACCCGCAAATGGCTCAAAGAACTAGGGTTTAGGGTTCAGGGTTTAGGGTTTAGGGTTTAGGGTTCAGGGTATTCGAATGGTCTTTGATCTGGGTTGCCAGGTCCTGGGTGGCTTGTCGCTCGAGGGCCAGCTGCTGGTAGAGGACAAGTTAGTAAAAAGTAAAAAGAGTACATTATTCTATCCAATGTAGTAAGATCAGAATATCACAATATCACAATATCATAAGATCATAATATCATAATATCATAATATCACAATATAATAATATCATAATATCATAAGGTCATAATATCACAATATCATAATATCATAATATCATAATATCATATTATCATAAGATCATAATATCATAATATCATAAGATCAGAATATCATAATATCATAATATCATAATACCATAAGATCATAGGATCCTAAGATCATAAAATCATAATATCACAATATCATAAGATCATAGTATCATAAGATCATAGGATCCTAATATCATAATATCATAATATCATAATATCATAATATCATAGGATCCTAATATCATAATATCATAATATCATAATATCATAGGATCCTAATATCATAATATCATAAGATCATAGGATCCTAGGAGTGGTAACGCTGCACGACCCGCCTCGGCCGGGACTTGGACAGCTGCGAGGCGCTTGCCGTCGAGAGGACATGCAGCTCATGGGTGGTTGGTGGGAGGGGGGGGTTTAGGGTTTAGGGTTTAGGGTTTAGGGTTTAGGGGGGCCCTGGTCCCGGTGTCTCGTCCAAGTACACCTGGCGCATGCAGGATAGCGCAAGCAAGAAGAGGAAGTAGTTGGAAGGGAAGGAAAACATGAAGAGGAAAGTGGGTGGGGGTGGCGATGGGGTTGGGGTGGTGGGTGGGGGGTGTCGGGGGGGGGGGGGTTGGGGGGGGTCGGGGCAGGGGGGGAATCCAGGTGGTGGGTCGAAAGCGTTGGGAGGGGGTGGGGGCTTGGGGTGGTGGGATGCCTGCTTTGTGCTACCCATACACCACAATTTGGATACATTGTTACAATACTACAATACATAAAGTGCCTCCTTGAGGAGCCTTGTCTGGCCTACTCCCTGGACATTGTGGTTCATAGACATGCTGGCTCGAAATGCTCAACGTGCATTGCATATGGTGTACATGAAGCTCGGGAGGTCACTAGGGTCACGCGCTTGTGAGGTTGAGCTGTAAGCTGCGTCTTTGCTTGCGACCTTGCGCACTGCAGCACGGGCTCTGTTTTGGTACTTGGTGCAGAGGACAGATGCACTGCATGCTAGGGGACTAAGCCCGAAATCTGTGCTCCAAGACTTCTCATTCCCACCCGACTTAGACTTAGAAGCCCAAAAACTGCCACTCGGAGCAGCGGACGCAGCCCAAAAAGGCGGGTATCCTAACAGTGCCAGTGCCCGGATATGGCATTGCATTTAAGCATCTAGAGAGCTTGGGCATGCCGGCTTTCGTGCTCGTTCCGAGCGAGCCGAGCGATGTGAATGCCGAGAGTATTGAGAGCTCAAGGAAGGATGGGCAGTCCATATGGATCCCGTTTTTCAAGACCGAGTCAGACAGCTGCTCTTTCTGCAGACGATTTCCTCCGGTTCCTTTCTGCACATTGGCAGCACTGGTGGGCATGCTGGTCGTTGGATCATGGCATCCCAGTCGGATCGGCATTTCTCACGGGATCGAGCTTGTAGGAGATGGTTCCTGTCCTGCTGCTTGCGGTCAGTCTGTCGCATGCACCTCGGCTTCAAAGCCAGAGATTCCCGAGAGGCCCTGCCCAGTTTTTACCTCCGGCGGGGACGAGCCCGGTGCTTGTTCGGCTGTGATCAACTTGCAGGGCTGCAACTTCGACCCGGGTGATGAGTATGAGACTTTTTGGGCGGTGAGCGTTTTCCAGGCGCCTGGAGATTACTTCTATGAAGTAACATGGGGAGCAGAATCCGCGGAGAGCTTCCCAATTGAGAATGGCACCATAGATCTCGGAACTCCGGACAACCTGCTTACTTTGCAAGTATACCCTGGTGAAGGAGCAGAAGGTTGTCCCGGCGCGGGGCTTGACATCACATCTTTTGCTTTTCTGAATGACGCAATCTTGTTCTACGCAAACGTCGCAGAAGATTCAAGACCGATGTTCGCCCTCCAACTCCTGGAAACACTTCCGGTCACTCCTTTGCGGCGGCTCAGTGCAGCGAGAAGACTCACTGCTGAAGACTTCTTCTTCTGCCCAGATGACTGTGTGATCTCAAGCCTCTATGTCAACGACGACTTCTGCGACTGTCCGGAGACCTGCGCGGATGAAGATTCCTGGACCTGCGCCACCTGCGGCGAGACTCCCCCACCGGTTACAACGCCCCAGCCGGAGGAGGAGAGCCAGGCCTCGGCGCTGTGCCCAACTGAGTGGCATGTTGCAGTGTGTGCGGAGAATGAGACCTTAAAGTCCTTAAAGCCTGAAACCGTTTCCAGGCGCCCCCTAAGAGGGGAGCTTTAGAGCCCTATAACGCAAGCCTCAGTGCCATCTTGTCCGCTGCCAGGCCTATAAGAACATGGCCACGGGAGTCGGCGTCGGGGTTGGAGTGGGCGGCGGCCTTGCGCTGGGCCTCGGCCTGGGTATCGGCCTCGGGACGGGTGCGGGCGTGGGGACCGGCTCCACAGGCAGCGCCGCCGCGGCAGCCGCTGCCTCCGTTGCTGCTGCCTTCAGCTCAGAGGGCTCCTTGAAACTCCAGGTGGAGAATCCTGACATACTGCAGACAGAAGCTTTCACCAATGCGATCAAGCGTTCCATCGCCCGAATCGCCGGTAGTTCTGTGGTTGCAGCAATGGTGGAGCTCATCATCGGCTGTGCGGCGGCTAGCCGGAGGCTTGCGCCCGCCTTGCGTCGGCTGGCCGAGACAGTAGAGGTCTGCTTTAAGATCGGAGTGGAACAGGAGAGCTTGGCGGAGGAAGTTTGCGACACTCTGTCGGGATACAATGCAGCCACCGTGGCCACTGTTATTTCATCAGAGATCCTGGACTCTGGCATTGAGCCAGGACAAGTCGAAGTAATCGGCTACCAGCCGAATCCAAACCCGCGGGCGAACAATCCAAGTCTCAATACTGGGGGTTCACCCCGCACTCCCTTCGTCCCTGATGCAGGCGGAATCAGTTTGGGATAATTGCTCCAAAGGAGAAGCTTTCCATGGCCACAAAGATGGTCCATGTACTCTGTACTGCTTGCCCTGGTTCTGAAATGATCAACTTGCAAAGTGCCCAGGTCTAGAACTGCTTCAAAGAATTTGGCCCGCCACAGAATTCCAAGAAATGCTTCGCCCCTTGTGCTTCAAGCCTGCTTCCAGCATACACAGTTCGAACTTTGCAAGTCAGCCCCGAACCTGTGTTCGATCACCCCAAACCACAGACGTGCAATCCAAGACGCATGCTCTCCTCAGCATGAATCAGAGTGGTCAGAAGGTCGACTCAGGTCGACCAGAGAGGGTCGAGACTTTGTGTTTCCAGTAGGATGACTCGTTGGCTGCAATGGCTGGTGGTCTTCACTGGCTGGCAGCCAGGGGCCAAGAGTTGATATCAGGGGATGAGCACATCACGCCTTGTAGAAGTCAGGGCGCCAACGTAGATCTTCACGAGGTTAGGTCCGGTTAGGTGTAGGTATGTGCTAAATTTCGGACTAGAGTGTGTACCTGTAGATGTCGTTCCGTAGACCATGCGATAGTTTTTCGAGACTTGCTCGCCGCTCCAAAGGTGCCGCCACGCAGTGTTGCAGGAGTTGGAATCGGAGGTGCGAGTGGAATGTTTTCTTGGTAGCCCAGTGGTACCCTCTTCCCTTGTTTGGTTCCAGGCCCCCTTATTATACAGCAACCAACCCCAAAAAGGTGCCCCTATTAGAAGCTATAGTTACTGGGCTACCAAGTTTTGCAGTGCCAACTTATGCCAGCTTCTGCCAGCGTGTGCATACGGCCTTGGACAGCCTTTGGCCCTCAACTTGTTTTGGTTCATCTCTGGACTTCCTGGCTTCAATGCTTCTGATCTTCAGGGGTCTTCAACAGCCCGATAAGAGCCCCCTTGTTTCGACTTTATGCAAGATGAACATGCAGGGCCCTGTAGAGTGGCCCGGAAAGAGTGGGGAAAGATACCGCGAAAGACTTTGTACTTCCTGCGTCGCAAACTCGCAAAACTTCTGCTGGCACGCTCTGTGGTTGCTCTTGACTTCTGTCGTGGCAGCAGCTCTAGTGCTGCTCATTCCGAACCGTTCTTTTCTCAGGTCCTGCAAAACATCCGCTGGGCAGCTAGGATCCAGGGCTTTCGCAAAGTAGCCGCGAAAGACTTTATGCTTTCCGCGAAGAATGTCGAAATTTGCGCGTGAAGGAAGACTGAACAGCCGCCAGATGCGGACATGGGATCGGGACACGAGACTCTTTACATGAAGGGGGGTGGACGCTTTAGTCCTGAATGCCGAATCCCGTTTTTTTTTTTGTGAAAGCCTAACAGCCTGACCTCTCGCTCGATGGCAAGATCTCACACCGGCTCTCCAATTCATCAGAGACAGATTGCCGCCTTGCAGGGCCTTGCATTGCAGCAAGCGGCACTTAACCCGTGAAACCCCTGAATCCTTAAACCCTTAAACCGACCCCTAAACCCTAAAACCCCTAAACCCTTGAACCCTTAAACCCTAAACCCCTAAACCCTTAAACCCTCAAACCCCTAAACCCTTCATCAACAGCAGTGGGACGGACCAAAGTGAAGAAGAGCTGTTGTGCTCATTCGGAGATGTTTGCCAGTAGCTTGCTGCTATGCAACAAACTTGGGGGGTTTAGGGTTTAGGGTTTAGGGTTTAGGGTTTAGGGTTTAGGGTTTAGGGTTTGGCTGATTCCAGCCCTTCTGCGGGCTCTGGGGAGATCCCACGGTCTATCACTTGCTTTGCGGTGTGGAGCTTTCCATGAAGTGATGCCTTTGCGTCACTCACCGGGATCACGAACATGGGCGCGCAACTGTGCATGGGGGCTGGGGGGTACCCCCCGTTCTTCATGCCCAGAAGCAGAAGAAGACCAAGAGAGGGAAGGACTTCGGCAGGGGTTGAACTAGGCTATGTGTTACCGGGATGGCTTGTTGTTTAAAGTAAACAGCGCAGACAGGGGTGAGCCATGAGCTCATCAAGGCCCTCCAAGGAAAACTCATTGTCTCGGGGTTACGAACACTCGTTGCGGTTTTCTTCTTTTCTGCAGATGTAACAAAGGGTCCCCCTTAGGCCCAGCAGCGGAAGAAGACGAAGAAGAACAAGAAGAGAGTCAACAGAAGACAGAGAGTTGTGCTTCCCAGCTAAGAAAGTTCATTGGCTCATTGGCCGGCCGATAGGGCGCACTTCCCCTAGCAAAAGCGAAAAGAGCAGGATAAAGGCCGAGAACCAGGCCGTAGCCGAGGATGCAGACACAAGTACGAGCGAGACACAATGGAGACCAGTAGAACATCTTTCAGTCGCTACAGCATGCCTGCCTTTTTTCAAAGGGAAACCACAAGTCTCGCCACGCCATGAAATTGCATAGGTCGAAGAATGTTTTGCCATTGACGAATGCGCAGTGGCTAGCACACTCTGGGTTGACGTAGGCTGTTTAAAATGGGCCGGTGTGAACCACTGCCCCTGCTGAGCGCCACTTCAACAGCGTGTGCGAGGCACTCAGTCATGCATTGTGCAGCACGAGCTTGTGCAGGCCGAGGCGTTGCAGGCCCTGAAAACCGACAAGGCAAAATGTTCTTTTTTTGTGATTTTGTTCAAGGATGTAGATGTATGCATGGTATGTATGCATGGTGACGAGTACACTCTTGAAATGCCAGTGCAGACTAAGGAGTTTTGAGTATATGCAGTGGTTGGGTGAGGAGCCATATTGAGAGGCCCTGGCATCGAAGATCGACGTCGCAGAAGTGGGGCAGCTCATCCGAAACGGTTCTGCCGACATGTTGAGCTTTTGGTGGGTGGCTTGGGCTTGCAAAACTCTGAGTTTCTCCCGTTTTGTCGCCTGGTGAGCCAGGGTGGTGGCAGCTGTGCCGAGAGCTTGTCCTGGCCTCCAAAGGTTCGGGTGGCTTCGTTCGGGCCCCGGCTGCCACAAGGCTGTCACGTGCAGGAAGATTCGAGGAATTGTTCACAGCCCTGCCCCCCAGGGTGCCCTGGAGAAGGCCGTTCGCCAGGAAGTGACGCAGCTCAAACTGACCCGGGCTCAGGGCCGGATGTTCACACCATGACTGCTGCCTGCCACGGCTACAACGCTCCTGATTCTGAGGAATGCAGAAGATCTGCTCCTCGCATTGAGCCCCCAAGATGAGAGCCGCCCGGGCCACCCAGCAACTGGGAACTTTTGCAGGTCCTGGTAGGCAAACAGCACATGAGGGTTTACGAAAATAGGGCAAACCCAATAATAGATCCCCAAATAGTAGGATCCCCTGATAGTAAGGACTCCATGAAGTACCCCTAATTGCAGAAGCACCCACATCTTAGGATGTTCCCCCTTAGACTAACAGTCCTTAGTAGTGTGATACTACCCCCCCATTATGATCCCTAGGACTGTGAGTATAAGAGGGAACATCCCGACCCACATCATTTACACCCGACAGCGGACCCACTGGGCACCTGGCATTTTTCCAAGATCTGTGCCCGAGGCATCGGTGTGGTTCGATGCGCCACCCAATGGGCACAGACGCCTGATCGCAGAAGGGTTTAGGGTTCAGGGTTTCGGGTTTCGGGTTTAGGATTTAAGGTTTAGCGGTATGGGACGTTTTAACAGGTTCGACTTTCGTTGCAGAAGCACACGAATCGGAAAGCGTTGGGAAGCACAGCAGTGGCGAGGAACAGTTCAGCCATCTTCCTCAGCATCAAGTTTGCACATCGTTGGTCCTCACCCGGGGCGTTGAAAGTGCTTTGGAAGAGATCTGGACCTTTGGCAGTGACATGCAGATAGAGCTTGCTGTGAACCTTGCGATGTCCTCACAGATAGTAGCGTGCTGCTGACAAAGCGTCGTTTGGTGTTGTTCACTGTCAAAGCATTCTTGCTCATGACTCTTGCTGCATCATGCCGCCCTGCCACATGCGCTGCAGGTGCAAGACGAGAAGGTCGAGGTATCCTCATGCTGTTTCAACTTCTCAGCTTCCGGGGACCACTCCCAGCTGAAGAAGCGCTACGCGCCGCGGCCTTACAGTGGAGTTTGCCTGAAAAGCACAGGGAGACGGATGGGCCGGCTGGCAAGAGCAGACCTTTGACTTCTTCCGAAGGCTTGACCTGGCCTTCTACGGGGAGGTCGGCCGCGAGCCCGGGAATACCCCTCTGCTTTATCTGCTACATTTGCTGCTATGCTGTGCCTTCACAAGATGTCCTGGGGCGTTTACGTAAGAAAGCGCCTGGCACCTGCCAGCTGAGATCCGGACCACTGGTCATGGCAGTTAGCTTCTGCCGGCCGAATGACCACCGAGCAGCCTTGCCACACTTCTTACTCTGATTCACCGGAAGGGGGTGGTCGATGTGCACCGTGTTTTTTCTTTTAGAATGTCTCCAGCTCATAGCTGCCATGGCTCATGACTACAAGGTTCTTGAGGCGTCTGAGTTACCTCCATTGATGTGCAATCAGCCATTGTGCACGGAGCACAGCCTCTGTGCACAGGGCCCTGCCGCGTGTCACTACAAGCTCCGGCTGGCCAGGATTCGCAAGCGAACGCCGGCGAGCTGGCCACGTCTGCTTGAATCCAAGAGCCTCTTGGCTCCAGATGGGTTCAGGGCTTCACGCCGACCTAGGACCTTTGTGGGTTCTCTTGGAGCTTAAATACGCACAGTGCGTAGCAGTGGCGTGACCAGAGATTTCTTCGGCATAAACCCATGACTGCATGTAAGGCAAGCCTGGCAACTTGCAGCAGTGGGACTCCATGCAGGACTCTTTTCTTATTCTGGGAGGCGGTACTGACGAGTCTGTACGGTCCTGGCTCTGTACTCAAATTCTGATTTCTGAGAGTCCGATAGAGTCCGGTTGCCTTACCTCTGTCCAAAGTCTCTTGGTACAGATTCACGACATTTGCAACCGCTTTGTGCGGCTAGAGACATCGTTCACCAGTATGCTGCCCCTGCCATCTCTTGATTAGACCGCTTTGCGTACGCAGCTTGTTAAAGCGCGTGAAGACGCAACTGCGTTTTGTATCTCGCGGCAGGAGCGCTGGAAGAGCGAGCTAAAAGAGTTCGATCGCAAGCACAAGGCTGGATACTTTCAAGCTCATGGGGCCAGTTTTTACCGTTGGTTGGTAGGGACTGGGGGAAGGAGGTATCCTATATAATCCCTTAGAGGGTAGGTATATATAGGGCCCCATTTCCCTCATGCCCTGCTAACCAACAGTAAGAGTATGGCAGCTGCGCAAGCTGGCTTGGAAGGCCGCTAACAAAGATGGCGACAGTGCTGAAGGGGTCGAGGCCGCCGAGGAGTGCCCCAGAAGTCCCGTATCTTATGACGCTTTAAGTTTGAAACTATCAACCCTAAAACTTCCTAAACCCTAAGCCCCAAGCCCTAAAGCCTAAACGGAAGCCCGGATTTAGATGAGTCCTCGCTTCGGCAATTCTCAAGGAACCAAACCTCGAGTTCACTGTGAGGCTTATCGATTCTGCCAACACCCCGTGTCAGAATTCAGAATCCATCTGACACGGGGGGGTTGGCGATTCACAAACCAGGCCCCAGCCCCCCGAACACCCTTCCGGATCGACTGGGTGCTGCGGCATGGACTCCAACTAAATCGTGGCTCATGAGTCCGTGACCTATATCTCCTTCTTACCAGTAGGAAGGCACCTCGCTGTCGAGCAAATCTGCGCAGGAAGAAATGCATTCCAGCGGCAGGACAGGCTCTGCTCGAAAGCTTGTGGTGGGAAGCTGTCATGGACGACGAGACTTCCGCAAAATAAAGATGGGACATAGGACAATGTCAGCTGAGTCTACTTGGTACTAGTGACATGCCGGGTGCAGTTGATGAGCCTAAGTCTCCTCAGTCAATTTGTGCTACTGGTGCTGTCATCACACGAGTTATGTTAGCTAGCTCCTTGCTTAATTGTAAACGCTTGCGCGCGCCGCCTCGGCAGCCGGGCCGGCCCCAGGACAGGAAAGGAGGAAAGAGGATTTCGCAAAAAAAAGGGAGGAAGGGCAGAGCGGGTGGTGGGGGGGTGGTTTGGGGTGTGGTGAAGGGGTGGGGGGGTGAGTGGGTTGGGGAGGGGTGGTGGGTGGGGGGGGTGGGGTGGTGGGTGGGGTTGGGGGTTTGCGGGGGTGTTTTTGAGGCACTCCCCTGTAGAGCCACCGACAGCTTGAGCGCTCCAAGGATTGGTGGGGTTCCGCACAGGCGGGGGGTGGGGGGGGGGTGGCGTCAAAAAATCTGGCATGGGGGGAAGGGTTGGGTTAGGGGGAAGGAGGCCCGATCCGGGTCTGCTTGTTCCAGACGCTTCTCGGCAGGAAGCCGAGGCGAACTATGACTCCGGAGACATGCCAGGAAGAAGTGTGTCGACAGTCGCGCGTCTCCGTTCTCAAGCGCTGGCCTTGTTGCAAGGTGCGCCAGTGCTCGGTACTTGTGTGGCTGTAAACTCATCTCGTGCTCACTTCGTTGCCAGGCTCTGCGAGGCTTACTGGCCAGTGAGGACAACCCTGTAATCTTGGAAGCTGCAAGTTGTACATCTTCAAGACTATTTTTACTTACTTTTCCTCTCCGGGCGGTTCCTGTGAGAGAGACCGCCAATGTTTTGGGACTGCCCCGTTCGAGGATGGATACGAAGAAGCAGGGCAAATCCTCCACCTGGCTGGTGCTCTTCCACTCTCCGTCATTGGCCCAAGCGCTGCGTTATTGATGCACCATACTCTTCGCAACCCGAGCAACAGTATAGCAAAATCTTGCAGTATGAATGGAAGTGATTATCAAAGTTATGAGTTGTTGAAGTGTTCTGCCCGCGGGAAAGGTCGGAGATGAAATGCTATGACCGTGGGGAGGAGTGCCAGCGAGTGAAAGATCGCTGGGAAGCAGTTGGCCGAAAGGCGTCGTGCCTGCATCTGCCATAGCAGGATACCCACTGTCAAGTACCGAAGACTGTTCTTGGTGTTGCCCGTGCTTGCGTGTTCTTCATTTTGGGGTGCGAGGTTTGGTCCTGCACCCAAACCTTGTTGAATGGTTCACAAGACACGGTACTCAACGATGCGAATCCAACACCGGAGTCGAAGACCTGCTAGTGAAAAGTGTCAAAGCGAAGCTGTCCGAGGTGGAGCAGGTCAGTGAGGCGCCTTGGGGGCGAGGGGAGCACTCGCTTTGGCCAGGGCTCGACATGCTGAGTTTAGGGTTTAGGGTTTAGGGTTTAGGGTTTAGGGTTTAGGGGATAGGGTTTAGAGACAGGCCTTGGTCGGCGCTGTGGACTGCGATCGGCATGTGCCGGGCTTGGCATGTCCAGTGCCAGGAACGGTCGAACCGCTGGTCGTGGCTCATTCCCTGTGGTTTAGGCAGACCTCTGCCAGAGGGAGAAGGCAGTACTGCGAGCTGGGCGGTTTTTTTCCTTCTCAGCAAGGTGCACGAATACTTGGACTTGCTTGATTGTTGTGGATGGAAGGTTGGAACACTGCCGTTCGTTCGACGCTACCGCAGTGGAAAGAAGAAGACCTACTACGGTGAGCACTGGCCTCAGAAAGTATGCGGAGCCCTTGGCTCTCGATTCCAGTCACCTCCCCCGCATGAGGTGGGACATCGATTCCATCATGAAGATTGTTGCGGATTGATTGTGCTGTTTGCATCTGCGACCACTCCCGAGGCGCGAGCAACCATCTGGAACCCTGAACCCTAAACCCTAAACCCTAAACCCTAAACCCTAAACCCTAAACCCTAAACCCTAAACCCTAAACCCTAAACCCTAAACCCTAAACCCTAACCCTAAACCCTAATACCCTAAACCCTCCCTAAACCCTAAACCCTGACCCCTGAACCCTGAACCCTAAACC